GTTAAAAAGTCCGGTTTGAAATGATGTGTGATTATGTCCAAGCCGTTGCAGATAATTGGAACCACTTAGGGAAAGCGCCAGCGTTGTTTGACTCTAAACCTGCGGAATCGCCATTTCTTGCGCTGGGTATCTGGCTGTACTTCGCCCACTACTGGGCCACTCTCGTTGCTGCCTGTGCTGCTTGTGCTTCCTCCATTGTCAATGCTAGTATTATTAGTCCGGCCCAGGATCACCCCCAAACTCTGACTGGTACCTTGCCCAGCTTGGTATTGCATCAATTCGCTCAAATCGCGGCTTACGCGTCGAGCGTAGGCGAATGTGTAAAACTCATTGCCGTCAACCAGCTCGGCAGTGGTAACGGGTAGAGGAATGATGGAGAGCACAGGAATGTCCGCAAGAGTATAGCCGGAGAAAGGTGACAGCACTCGCAGGGTGTCTTGGTTGTCAGATCTCTGATCCCCACCAGCACTGGTTGTGATCATTGACGCGGCCGACGATGCAAGTCGTGGGGGGACCCAGAAGGCCTGCTGCCGAGCCGGAGGGCTGTAGTGCGGAAGCAACTCTCGGTCAACGACTTGACCATCAAACACGTCCTCCAGTTGACGCATCCTACCAGACAAGTTGGTGTTTGCTGCGAGGAGTCTCGTCATTCGCCGCTCCAGACCCACTCTGCTATTCTGGGCGTCGGATTCGCCTGGACTAGAAAGTACAATGGAACTAGTAAGCAAAACCTGCCACGGTCTCCAATTTTTAATATTCCCCGTTGTCTTCCCGATGTGGCTTCCTTGGCACATGCACTAAATGCAGGGCCCAAGGCTGCCAAGAGCAATTAAGACACTTATAAAAGACAAAGAAAGGCCACTTACCATTTTAAGATGGTCATCATCATCGTCATAGAGAGGTTGTGCCATCGAATGCGCGAGCATAGGGCCTGGATGCTCTGTTCATAAGACGAGGAGTAGTCATGGCCCACAGCGAGATCCTCGGCTGGGGGAGTTGCGAGTCCCTGCCTTTCCAGGTTCAAGGTCGCGCAGATGGCTTGCAGGTCAGATACGGCCAGCACCGTATCGGTCATTGTTGCGATGAGGTAGTCGGCTTCGATCCATGTCCCACGTTCGGGAAACGGTAGCTGTGCTGATTCAACCAAGGAGAATGTCTTGTACAAGACGTGAACAGTCGACCGGCACTGCTTGATCTCTTGCAAAGCGGTGGCGAAGATTGAGTTGGCCTTGTTGGCTGGCGTGTTGAGATCCCACAGAGCATCGATGGTCTTGCCCCCTACGGCCAGCAGGCCAATTATTGCCGTGGTGACGGACAGCTTCTCGCCCATGGCCAATAAGGGCGAGGCCATGATGGCTGACCCGACTGGTCGGGATGGTTGTCCTCCGTTGTTGGCGTCGCCCGCACTTCTCAACCGACCACCACCGCCCTGTCCAGCTTGTGTCGTGTTGTCAACCGGCCGATTCGCAGATGCCGGCGGCAACACCTCACGCACTCAAAAGCAGCCGGGCAGCTCTGGTGCACTACGAAGTCTTCCCCCGTGCTTCCAGTTTCGGCGCTTTGCTCGGGTGGATGCTTCGTTTGATGGAGAGTTGTGCCGTAGCAAGGAGGAGGAGGAGGAAAAGCAAGAAGAGTAGCGACAATAACGACGACGACGATGACGTACGTTGGCGGTGTTTGGTCTGACGAACGTTGATGCGGATCGATGACTTCTCCTTCCGCGTTGCTGCCTTTGGAGATGCTCTCGCAAAGATACTGATGTCTTGTCGTCCCTCAATGTCTCATCCGCCACTTTATGTCGTCAGGTAAGCCAAGTTGGAAACGGCAGGCCTGGAGATGCAACGACAGTGATGTTCAGCCTTGTGCTCGTCTAGCTTGTCCTCGTGCAAGATACTGGAGCCAGCCCGAGAACGAGACCAACAGCAACAGCGGACGAGCAAGTGCATTTCTACGTTTGAAGACTTCCAGTCAAGCCAGACCAGGAATGTCAAGGACACTGGTCTGGCACTGGCACCTGGCACCTGGCACCTGGCGCGCTGTCTGGCACTCCGCGAACGGCTAAGACGGCATGCTGTGCCCCACACTTTGGCTGTTTCGCTACCCCCCTCGGCACCATTGCTCCGTACAATGCAGTCGGGTAACTCGGCCAGCTCCAGGCTAGGTAGGCCCTTTAGTTTTCAGTCATCAAATTGATGTCCAACAGAGAGCTCTCGAGTGCAGCCCGCCTGGGCCTCGGGTGCGGTCTGGCTATTTTAGCTCGCCGCTCATGAGGGGACCAATCTATTGATTTAGCCACCATTTGCCAATCAGTGCCGGAACGCCAGCCATCTTTGCTGGTTCGCGCTTGTCAATGACTGCTGACTTTTTTTTCTTGGTTTTTGGAGAAAACTCGCAAGAATTAGCGTTTGCGTGACGTCCAACAGCGATTATTGCCTCTTTTACCACCTCCGTACAGAGTGCCTCTCGGTCGGCATGCCGTTGCCGGCCGGATGACGTGCTTTGAGCGATCAGTCGCAGCCCTGTACGAGCCCTCGGCGTGATGCTCCCGAATAGTTACCTTCTCTTTTTTCGTTACTTCCCGTCATCACCATAGTAATTCCTTTTTGTCACCCAGATTTCTCATCACAGGGCGGATAACAAAAAGTGGCACCAAGACCAAAATACTGCCGACGCCACAATGTGAGCGGCTATTCCCATCACCAGAAGTCACCAATCCCGGCACCGCAGGTTGCAATACGGCACATGCCACCGGTGGTTCCCAGCTTCGTCCAATGTGATTTTTGCTTCAGGCTCGCCAGTAAAGCTTGGCTTTGCTTGTTCTGCAAGACCAACGGCAAGGAGATGAGAACAGGCCAAAGCGTCCAGTCATGTAGCACGCAACTAACTGGACTAACACAACGTAACCACGTCTTCCGCTATTGCAACATGTCCATCTCCGCCACGGGTTGGGACAAGGCTGCACTCACGGCCGCCTGTGTTGGCACATGGCGGCAGGCCTGTCCAATGTAGGGAGCCGATCCAAATGGCAGTCGGTCTTTGTTCATCACGACTCGAGCGCATATAGTACTCGCAAATAGCACTCCGCAGTCCCCGTGCGGCTCGGGTACTCATTGTCGCGATGCCCCCCACGATGCGTCCATCCCTGCCCACAGGGAATAAGGCTCCAGACCAGTGGGTACTGATGTATAGACCAGGGCGATCTGGGACATGTCAATACGGAGTAGCCATCGTGACTCGTTTCTCTGTTGGGAGCATGAACCGGGCGATACTCCGTACTCCGTACAACCCTGGAGACGCAGAGGCTGGCTGGAAAGGCTCCCATGTGCCGGCTGGGTCAGTCGCTGCCGAAAATGACGACCGGCACGCCACGGAGCCTGCTGTCTCTCGGGACGCGCCAACTGGAGCAAATGATTGGCATTGTCTCCCCCTAATTCTGATGCCTGCATGCCGAATTCCGGTGGTGTTGTGGGAGGGCGACCCAGGCGGCAGGCCCCAGCCCGGCTGTGAGATTTTCTTCGATCGAACTCGACAGGTGGTGCTTGCCGAACGGTACGACCCTGCGTTGTGCCCATTGACAATGGACCACCTGGCAGGGCTCGCAAGGCTCCAATGGCAGCGTCAGTGTTGAGCGTGGAACATTGAACATTCGAGTCTTTTTAAGTTGAGTCCATCCCAGGAGTCCAGGATGGCAGTTCACACACAGACACAAATACCGGATTTGTCGTCAGGTCGGACGCAAGCAAGGCACTAGCTCCAGATGTCCTTTGAAGTTGGCATCAATCCGCCTGATCTGGGCGCTCTTTCCATCCTCCGTCCTCTTCCCAGTCCTTCCAAGGTGTTGTCTCCACAATTTCGGACTCTCGGCAAGGCATCCACCACTGGCGCACACCACGTTCGTGGCATCGAGTTTCCAGTCATCCTTTTCGTACCCAACTGGACCAATTACATGCTGTTTTGACTGTGCATCATTGAGCATTATGGCGGCCTTGTTTGACTTATGTGTTCAGCCCCTCAAACTCGGTGTATCCGTCCCGCTGGCGGAAAGTGTCACCACATTCTTTCAACTCCTCTCATAACCCGTGTCCGGGTTTTAGACGCAGCCTCTGGCCTGCTTTCGCCCGTCCATTGTCCAATTGCCCGAGAAGGACAAAGTGCTCGGCCTTTCGCTACATGGACTGCCGCAATGTCTGCATTCACCTGCCTATTGACGCCGGGCCTGCCTTGGATTTCCCGCTCTGCCTGGTGGCTTGCAGCTTTCCCCTTGAAAACGAGACTTTGGGTCAAATGCATGCAGCTACTTTGGCTGTTGTTTTGATTCTTTTTGAGCTCGCGCAGTCCCTCAAACCCCTCAAGCTCGGCACCTTGCCAATCTGCCCACGAAATAGCGCGGCAGCGTATGCCGTCAATGCCATCGCATCAACGTCATATAGTCTATTATTAGCCTCACGTTTCATCCACTTTGCAAACCTCACTCTGGGCTAGTCCGTCTTCAATAGCCTTCTCCGCATCTTCGGACGCAATATTGTTCCTGTTCTTGCCGTCGCTTGCCTTGTAGCTCGTGTTGTGGGTTGGTGAGACAGGTTCTTGTAATAATGGATCTTCGGGTATGGCATGACGGTTAGTAACTCCTCAGCATTACTCCATGACGAAAAGGAACGCAAGTGCATGAACAGTCATCCCGCCCGATCAACGTCATTTCAACTTGTCTCGGATGCTTTTGATACACTCGTTGAATCGCCGCGCCGCAAGGTTGAGCACAACCCTCTTCTGAAAACAGTGAAAACCCATATATTCTGGATAAAGAGATACCACTGCAGCACGGGTATATTACAATATAACAACCCCTAGCCCAACTAACTGTACTTCATATGCGCCCAACGCTGACCGTGACTAGCACACCACGCTGCACCGTATCCGTATCCCAGTCATTCAAACGCATCTCCAGACTCCAATTCCAAAAACCGCAAACCCCCCAAAGCTAAGAATAAACTTGACTAGCCCTAAGACACCGACCCAGCGGCGCTGCTGCTGTGTCGTGCGCGCTTGCGGCCGCTCGTGGTAGCAGGGTGCATCTTGTCAATTCGTTCGCGCCTGAGCTTGTCATCCAAAACGCGGGCTGTGAACAATGTGTTAGCAGATCCATTAAGCGCCATGTCTGCCCCCAAGGCAGAAACGCTACTGGGTGCAGGAAACAAAGGGTGAGAAGAAAGAAAGAAAGAAAGAAAACCCTTACTCAAAACGTCATAACCAAACTGAGGAAACTCCAAGCACAAGGACTTGAATTCGTTCTCTGCCTCGGCACGCAGGGTATGCGACCTCGTGGCCCAGAAGCTGGCGATTGGCGCGCGAACCTTTGTATCGTCGTTGGTGGTGTGCGCATACACATATTTCGCATACTCAATCTCGCCCTTGGCCGTAGAATCGATGCAGTGAATCTTGCTTGACGAGAGCTTCTTCAAGTCGGGCACGCCGAATTTCTCAGCGAGCGTGTACACCCGCGCGTGCTTGAGCAGGTGTACGCCTGTATCATCAACCTTTGGCATTGCAGGGTCGACTTCGAGAACGCGCTGCCCGGGGATCTTTCTTGGGAAGTATTCGCCCGTGTAGAGGAATTCGAGGAAGGAGCCGACGGCGACGGTGTCTTCGGGGAGTTCAAGTTGCCGCGGCTAACCCCAGTGTCAGCTGCAACTTGACGCAGCGTCGTTGCGGAGGGACGGGCGGAGGCAATTGGAAACGTACGCTGCCATCGTCCACAAACGTTTGACACAGGTCCTGGAAGTAGGGGCTTTTGCAGAGCAGCGCCTGATGCGCGGTGAGGAGGGTTTGATTCTCGTCTGAGCCAACGACGAGTGTGACCATGGGCGACGACAGGTATGACATGAAGGACATCCTGGGAGGCTCTTCATCTTTGCTGGTTGTTTCTTCAACTTCGGGCGCCCGTGTGGTCTCGTGCTCCTCCGTCATTTCGACGTCGCCGGGTTGTTGAGTCGACGTTGTGTCCTCGGGCGCGTGCTCCACGTCGTCTTGTGCTACGGAGGGCGGCATTGTGGCGATTGCGATGCGAATTGGCGAGTGCAATGCGGCGATTGGGGTGAGCTGTGGGTGTTAAGGTGATGATGAGGTGAAGTGGCTGGTGGTGGTTGGAATGCTTGCCGCGCGACGATAGCTCACCTACCTGGCCGTGCTGTTGGCCCCACTATCTACCTACTTAGATTTAATCATCAGTCCAGTTGACACTCTGGCCATACTAGTATGATTTATTTACCTTAGGTACGGAGTAGGTAGTTCTAAAAGTCTCAAGTCCCTAAGACTAAAAAACAGTAGTGCCAAACGTGTAGCAGCAATTTTAGTAGCTCGAATAGCAAAAGCCATATGTAGGTGCGGTCGGCGAGCAATAATCGGGCTGGTTATTTTGGTTTGGAGCTCTCCAATGCAGCTGAGCTCGTGGAGGTGCACGTCGGCCCAGCAACACCTTGGGAGTCGACTACCCTAGAAGCAAATGTTGCCCAATTTCATCATACGTAACAAGTGTTTAGGGGTCAGAATAAACTATTACTATGCTTGCCTAGGTGAGTCCTTAAAAAGTTTAAGGGTTTTTATATCTTCATTCTAATAGCTTTTCCTACAGAATGAAATGTGTTACGAGTCCACTAGCTTTCATAGTCTGGCAGCATGTAGCTGGTAATTTAGCCAAGTATCCTACTCTTCACCCCAGTGGCTGTCTTGGATTGAAATCTGACCCTTCTCTGTCACTTATAGAAGCAAATTTTGAATAGAAACCAACATTGAATGGATTGGGAATTTCCCTTCGCACTGGTGAATTACACAGCTTGCCCTATTCCGCGGGACGGACGCCGAACGGCCTTTGAGACGCCACTTTTCATCGTTGTTAGGATTGACTCGATTGAGAGTCTGAGACAGGCTGACGGAGGAAGCGAGAGCAACCACCATGTGGGCTGGCTTTCCAAGAAAAGCCCCCAGATGCTCCTACGGCTCCGTGTGGATGCAGGAATCACACAAAAGTCTTGAAGGTGATTCATGGCCGCTGCCTGGGAAAGAGCCATCTTGGTCAAATGGTAAAGAAGCAACCACCACGACGGCAAGCCATCCGCCAATCAACCTTGCAGAAGCAGCATCCAATCACCCGTAACCCCCTTCCATCAGCGGCTTCACTAGCGCATCGTATTCTGGATCTGGGGGCTGCATCAGACTTTCGTCGTGACGAATCTTGTCGTCGTCGCGCGGCTTGAATCCGGGAGTTTCGGTTTGGTGGCTGGCTCAAGTGACATCCAGCCCGGGACTACACCTCCGCGAGGGCACGCATCTCAAACGACATTACAAGCTGCTCTGTAGCTCTCTACCCCGAGTCCTGCCTGTTGATACATCCAGCATCAATTGATCATCTCTAGGAAGTCAAGGTCAGAGGACGCGCACCGAAACTTACATCCAGCGCCAAATGAAGCTTATTCAAACACATCGGGCAACCCCCTCACACTGGGAATCTCATTGACCGACGGTGCCGTCCGGAGAATGCATCCTCGAATCGCAGCCCAAGGACTTGGTCCGCCCACAGTTCCTTGACTGCCCGTCATCTCACCATGTTGGCCATGGGGACATATATTGGGTTGCTCACGCCTTTGCTCAGTGTTCCCAGACTCTCTTCCGAGCAAGACAGTCGTTATTCCTTCTGTAGACGCCCCTATTCCAGACCGAAGAACAATGAAGAATTCCATCATTATCAGCCTGTCGGCTCTCGGCTCACTCGCCGCTGCAGCTTCAGAGGCGCCATGTCTCTCGTTGACGACCAACTTCCCAACCTGCGTGGTCCGCCTCCCATGTTTCTCCGCCACTGCTTTCCCATAGACTAACCGTTAGGCTGTGTAGTTGTCTTGCGCACAAGAGGCAGCCTCCAAAGCAGGGTGTACAAATACTGCCGACCTCGAATGTTGGTGATGCCCTGGACAGAACTCGTGTGTCGCGGACGCTGACTGCCCCTTGTCACCAGGCCAATGCAACCCCAAGTCGTCCAGCGCCATTCAGGGCCTTGCTCTTGGATGCGCTGCTGCGTGCAGCGCAACTGAGCTGCCCGCGGGAATCAGTGCCGGAAGAGCCCTATGCGAGTGTGTCGCCTCGCACGCGGCCGCCACCACATCCGGCACCGAGACCGGCACCGAGACCGGCACTGAGACAACCGGCACCGAGACGACCGGCACCGAAACGACGGCTACCGGGACGCCGCATACCGGTGCTCTCACGAGCGAGATTACGAGGACCCAAACCTCGACTGGAACCAAGACTGGTTCCGAGTCTGAAACAACAACTACTACCGGCACCCAGACCGAAACCTCGACAACTACCGAGGCGACTACTTCTGGAGCAACGACAACATCGCCAACTACTGCTACTCAGACTACTACTACCGCCGGGGCCGGAATTTTCCAGGTTTCATTCGCTGTCGTTGCTGGAGCTATCCTGGTGGCCGCTGTTGTACTGTAAACGAAATATGGGCTTTGCAGTTTGGATTATTCATTTACCAGGGCAAGATTGAGTGCCGGCCCAAAATTACATGTTATTTCATCATGGTCGTATAGTTGGATGATAAAATTCCTTGACTTTTATGTAATATTAATCATAATATAATACAATACACTGCGCACGTATGGACCTGTCTCATCATATATTCGAGACTAATATGACATCGCGTCAGTGAGAACATACCTCTTCCAGATCAAATTCGCCGAGTCGTAGGATGCGAATTACCCTAAATCGTCTGCTCATCGGCTGCGCCCAGTAGTGATCAACTTCTGGTGCATGTTTATTCGGCATCCTTGATGATTTCCAGCTGGCTGTCGTAGATGGCGCAAGCGGTAGCTAGGCGGCGAAGCGAGCCGAAACTCATGGGGTATTTCTGAGGCAGTGCGGCGTAGAACAGAGCCCGATTTCTTTACTCGCGGCGCAGATGAATGCCCATTGTTATCAAAAAGTTGCGGCCGTGGGGAAATCGTCGGAAGAGAGGCCAAGGAAGCCAACAACCACGCCGGCCAGCTCATGTACTACTCCCCCGCGTCGTTGAACTCTGCAAACGAGTCATAGTTGAGGTTATCCGCCCAGAGCCACAACTGGCTGGCATCGCCGAGGCCAGAGTCGACCAGCAGCGACAAATCCCCATCCCAGTCGAATCCCGCGCCGGGATCGGCCACCGGGGCAGCGGCCGATTCAGCTCCCCGAGTCTGATGCCGCCCCATGCTGTCATCGCCTGGCTGCGGATCGCCTTGTGCGTCTCCCGGGGGAGCAGGTCGTTGCACATGGCGCTCAAACACTAGGTATCCCTCGTCAGCAACAAACACCAAACTCTCTGTCTCAATGGCAAAACGCAAAGACGGGAATCACCACCTTCTTGTAAAGGATCTAGCACCCCCGCGGCGCCTCTCCCGCCAACAACAGTAGACTGACCTGTCGTATCGCGTCCATCAGAGACGGGCCGGCTCCTCTCGCCGCCGCCAGAGGCCTCTGCCCGACTCGCCAGCTCGTCGGCAGGAGGAGCCGAGGGCCTCCCCGTTATCAGCTGATTTTCAGCCTGCAGGATGACGGCAACCAGGCCCTCCAGGATCTTGACGCACTGGGCCGAGACGAGGTGCTGCGCCGACGAGTTGTCGTGGCAGATGCGGATGATGTGCATGATGCCCGTCTTGGCGCGCTGGCTGACCTCGGACATGGGCTGGGACAGACAGATGGCACACAGGACCACGCCGGCGGTGAAGAGCGTGATGCCAATGTGCATGTTGGCATGGGTCCTGCGGCACTCCTGCAGCACGTGCGAGTACCGGTGCAGGTCGGCCGTCCGGATGGCGGCCTCGAAGAGCTGCCGGTGGGAAAAGGGGCTCGAGATGCTCGTCGCGTCGACCCTGCTGGCGCCGCCGTCGGCCACGCGGAACGCCGCGCTGCGGTGCAGGATGATCTGGAGGTTGTCGTAGGTCAGCTGCAGGGAGAGGGCCTGCATCTGCAGCAGCGATATCTGCCGGGAGGCGGTCGCGTAGGACTCGATCCTCAGTCGGTCGGGCAGCTTCTCGCGCCACTGGATCAGCTGGCCGTGGATGGAGGTGACGTTTTCCAGGCGCTTCGTCTGCAGCCGGCGGCCGAGAAACGGGCCCATGATTCTGTACAGGGGGAATTTCCACTGGTGATAGAGGAGCAGCGGTTCCGTGTCTGTGGGCGTGTCGGCCGCGGCGCGGCGCGGACTGCCCAGCGGGAGCGCAGACACCATGGCCACTTGGCAGTCGGAGTCGTCGATGCTGCTCGGCCGTCCGAACGCAATGGCCGCATATCTGAACGAGCTGTTAGTGATTTGCGATCATTCCAGGTAGAAGGAATATAGAAATGTTGGCGGCGGGGGTCGGTTGAGCGCACTTATCAAAGACTTCCAAGGCCCACCACGTACGCCGCTTCGCTTCCTTGACGGCCTCGGATGTGTCTCTCCACATGGACTCTCTGTGCAGCCCGATGACCTGGGCAATCTTGACGCTGCTGCCCAGTATGCCTAGCCCGGCGTTGGGCCGGCCGTTGAACAGGTGGAAGCTCCCCAGGAGGATGCAGATTTGCACCGCCTCCAAGGTCGAGCAGCCGATGATTTGCAGGAAGCGCAGCTCGATGCTGGCCAGGAGCGTCCGGGACAGCTGCTCGAGGTCCAGGCCGGCGGTGCTGGCCGACGGCGACACGGACGAGTAGTGGGCGCCCAAGCCGAGCACCAGCATGCTGAGCCAGAGGAAGTTTTCCTCGTGGTACGAGACCTGCTGCGAGGCGACGAGGCGGGCGTAGCTTTGGCGGAACGACTGCTCGTGGAACACCTGCTCAAACATGCGTCAGTCGGGGATTGTTCAACCGCGCGGCCGTGGGCAAAAACTTGCCATCATGAACCAGTCCACCGACACGAAGAAGCGGTCGACAAACGTCTCCAGCACGTCATCGGGCGGCAGCTCCCACTCGACAATCTGGCGCCAATGCCGGCCTCGAAGAAGCTGAGCGTGGACGGTCTTGTGTCCGCCTGGCAGTGCTGAGGAATCGTGGCCCACGTGACGATCCTGCTGCATCCTGGCAAAGATCTGAGATGGGAATGTAAGTTTCTATCTACTATACAGCAAACGAGGGGGGGGTTGGCTTTTGTTTTTGAATTTACCATGGTGCTCAAATCCACAATACTGGTTTCCGGAAGAACCACGGTGGTGTCCGCGGGAGCGTTGTCGGCTTCATCGTTTCGTGATGATGCCGGCTGCGTGGATGACGTTGGCAAGGGACGGTGTTCTTGCGCGTCTCCCTGACGGGGAACACATTCCACGCCCGCGCGGGTGCAGTGAACGCAGGGCCGGGCTTGATCGCACTGGGTCGGGGGTTAGTTGGAGAAGATGGAGGCGTATCGTGATGCAGCACATACTCCCAGCTTGCGCCTTCGACATCTCACACAGGCCGCCGAGACCTGGCGGCGCCTCCGCGGAGCGTTCATGGGCGACGTCGGTGAAGCGCAAGTCCGACGGAGCTTCGACGTCCCAAGGCTGTGGTGACAAGGATAAGGATGTGGTAGATGAAGATGAGCTTAGATGTGCTTCCGTCGGATGGGGTTCAAGTCCCGTCTCCTGAATATCCACTTCATCTCTGCCGCCGATCTTGCAACGGCCGTATTGTTCCCGGGACCAGTTACTGATGGGCAGGCGGGCAGGGTCTTGTGAAGAACACACAGCGCCCGGGGAATAAAGCCGAGAGAGCACCGAGGATTCAATCATCATTCTATTGACGTACGGAGTATTTCGTGGAACCTACGGCGTGGCGTGCCCAAGTGGAACCCGCACCAAAAAAAAGAAACATCGAGCCCTTCAACCGCGCCTCTCCATCATCACCCATCACCACTCCCCCCAAAACCATCAAAAAATGACCCTCTCCTCCACGAGCAACGAAACGTCGTTGCAAGACAGCACCGCCGCCGCCGACGCCGCGCGGACCGCAAAAGTCCACGCCCTAACACAGAACCTCCTCTCCAAATCGCCCATCTACGGCCTCATCCTCGCCGACATCCAACTCGCCGCCGTCGCCGCCGGCACCGTCACGCTCCGGCTCACCCTCTCGGCCACGCACCTCAACAGCAAGGGCGGCCTCCACGGCGCCGTCAGCGCCACCGTGGTTGACTTCGCCACCGGGCTGGCCATCTGCGCGCACGACCTGCGCGAGAGGACGGGCGCCTCGGTCGACATGCACCTCACGTTCCTGTCGACCGCCGCCGCCGGCGACACGGTGCTCATCCGCAGCACTGCCGAGCGCGTAGGCGGCAGTCTGGCCTTTGTCAGCGTCGCCATCAACAAGCTGGGCGAGGACGGCTCCGAGACCCCCGTCACTCGGGCCCGGCATACCAAATACGTTCGTGGGACAAAGGAGCCGTAGCGAGCTGGGGACCTTTTTTTTTTTACACACACTACGTCTTTGCTCTGTTGTTTCTATAGAAGAGGGTCTGGTGGGATTTTACATGGCAGCATATTTTAGAACCATCCCCCGAAAAAAAGAGAGAACCATTTTCTACCCGAATGCCGTTGCGGTTGTGTCGTCCTGGAACATGTTGCGCACAATTTCGTCAATGTTGGTGGCACTCTCGTCGGGGAAGCAGTTTGCAAACGAGTCGTTGCCGAGGAAGTCGTCGAAGAAGGCGCTCGGCTCGATCATGGGCGTGAATACCCCATTGATGGCGTCCGTGGACAAGTCCACGTCCGACAGCGAGATGGGGGTAGCGGCGGCAGCAGCCTGGCGCTGAACCGTGGCGCGTCCGCGTCGTCTGCTGGGCTCTCGTGCCGGCGCCGGGCCGTCTTGCGCGAGGAGGTCCTTGATGGTGGAGCGGCCGAGCTCGTCGAGGGTGTCGCGGCAGCGGCGTGCCCCCGACCAGTGCTCGCCCGTCGCGGAGAGGATGCTGGACGAGATGCTGAGGTCGCTCATGAGCTCGGCCACGTCTGTCTGCTGGCGGAGGTCCGGCACCATCTTGACGCAGTACAGGATGCTCAGGGTGCTCAGGACCACGGCGTGAAAGGTCAGCCAGCTGTGGACGAGGGCGCTCCGGACGTAGAGCTTGTTGAGGAGCCTGAGCGACTCCCGCGCGCTCGCGTGGCACTTTTCCAACGCCTCCCTGGTCGGCTTGGGGATGGCCGGGCTCGGCCGCAGGAGCACCATGCGCAGCGTGTGGCCTTGGATGCGACAGGCCGTCTCTAGGTGTTGGGTCGCGGGCGTGCCGTCGCCGGTGGGAATGTGCTCCTCCCACTGGTTGATCTGCTCCAGCACGCTGGCTTGCCATTCGTAAATGTCAATCACGGCTGGGTATGCGTAGACGGGCGTCTGTCGGACCACGCTGTTTGCCACGTACTTGATTTCCGAGTTGAGCTTGGCCAGCCGGAACAGGTGGATCGAGTACGCAATGGGTTTGAAGGCCGAGCTGTGAGAGTGAGGAGAGCCGGCTGTCATGATGTCCATGTCGTCGAGCATGCGCGGCAATCTCAGGTCGCACGCCTCGTCTCGTAGTCCGATGGGACGGCCCATCGTCGTGGCGATGATGCGGTCCATCATAAAGACCACCCAGAAGATCCTCGTTCTCATCTCCTGCTCGAGCAGCGAGATTCCCGCTTGCGTGGTCACGTCGCGCTGCAGGCCCAAGTCGACTGCCGCGGCTATGGCCTGGTAGTTGAGATGCCAGATATTCACCCTGACGTGCGGGTTGTGCAGCGTAAAGATGAGGAGCAGCAAAAGGCACTGAAGGCCCTGCAGCGAGTTTTCCACATTGATCCGGTCAAAGTATCTCAACGCCGAGAGGCCGTACCGCTCACATGGCAGGATTGCCTTGAGCCTCTGCGACACCACCAGGCTCCCCAGCGCCATCACCATGTACACCTGGAAGCAGGCCGCGGGATCATCGTACTGCAGGGTGTACATCTTGTCCAGGACTCTGTCAAAGGTCGGCCGGTGCAAAACGGGATACGTGGCATGGAGGCTCTCGAAGAAGGCGTCGCAGATTTGGTCTGCAATCTCCCGCGCCGGCAGACTGGCCGCGCTCTGCACCGTCTCAATGAGATCCGTCGGAAACGCCATGTCTCGGCTGCCGGAGATGCCTGGCGAGGAACCCTTGGTGAGCATGACTCTGGCGAGGAAATATCCACTCGAGGGGCCAATGTATCGCGGATCCTGGCTTCCCCCCAAGGACACGAGGCCGATTTCATGTGACGACGCTGCCCTGGATTCACTTTGCTCCGGGTTTGCGGCGCCGGCCTCGACTTGCGCAACAACCGGTGTTGACTCACCGTCCAGGACGGTCTTGAGGTTCTCACAATTCGGCCCCTGGCTCAGATCAACATAGGGGCATTTTTCGTGGATGATGCTTTCCAGCCACTTGACACGGTCCTTTAAGTTTGTAATGTACCTGAGCCCATGGTATTGCATATGTAGTTAGCTGGGAAGTGAAAGACTCCGGGAGGTCCAACTTGTGAGAGGTGGGAATGTCGTACGTACGCTCTGGGAAAGTCTCTCAGCCGGGCACTCTCGCCATCCACACACTCCGACCCCGTGTTTCTGCAATGCTTACACTGAGGAAGTTCTCCATCGCACTGTGAAGCCGTTTGTTAGCCCGTACGCACACACTCTCTCGTCTCTCCCCCCCGGTGCAAAGCCAGCCGCCCACCTTGATCTTGCGACGTTGACATCGCAGACAAGCCAGCCGCAAACGCGGATTGCGAGCCTGACGTCTCGTAGACGCCCTGACTGGGCTCGCTGTATGGCCCTCCGACTCAGACATTGCTGCTTGGGTTACAGTTCCTCGAAGCCGTTGACTGGGCGAGCGAAAGAGTCAGAGCGGTAAAAGGCCGATGAGGGAGCCGCGCGGACAAAGTCCGCATAATGGCGACGGGGCGGGGCGGAAAATTCCCGCTCCATAGATTCTACACCACGACGCCGTGCTTATAAAAGAAAAAGCGTCAACCATGCATTCATCCCAACATTTTGTAGCTGGCCTACGAATGACTCCATCATTCAAATTCTCTACACGGATCATACAAAATGGCACCGGCTGAGGACAGCGCCACAAGACATGTATCCCCATCGGAAGCGCGCCGCCTGGTGCAAGACATCCTCACCGGGAACGGGGTACCCGGCGAGAATGCAGCCCTCATCGCAAAGTGCCTGGTAGCCGCTGACCTCCGCGGCGTCGACACGCACGGCATGAACCGGATCCCGTCGTACATGGAGCGCATCCGCAGGGGGGTTCTCGACGCCGCGGCCCAGCCGGCCATCGACCAGGTGACGCCGGCGGTGGCGCAGGTCGACGGCCGCAACGGCTTCGGCTTCGTGTCGGCGCACCAGGCCATGCGCGCGGCCATCTCCTCCGCCAGGGTGTACGGCATCGGCATGGCGAGCGTCAAGCGCTCGAACCACTTCGGCATGTCGGCCTGGCTGGTCCAGCAGGCCCTCGACGCGGACATGATGAGCCTGGTGTTTACAAACTCGAGCCCCGCGCTCCCGCCGTTCGGCGGCAGGTCCAAACTCCTGGGCGTGTCGCCGATTGCGTGCGGGGCGCCCGGCGAGCCCGACTTCATCCTCGACATGGCGCCGTCGGTGGCGGCCCGGGGCAAGATATACAAGGCACAGCGGCGCGGGGAGGCGATCCCGGCGGGCTGGGCGCTCGACGCGGAGGGCAGGCCGACGGAGGATCCTGCGGCGGCGCTGGGGGGCGTCATGCTGCCCATGGGGGGGCCCAAGGGGTCGGCCCTGGCCGTCATGATGGACGTCTTTTCGGGCGTCTTGTCCGGGGCGGCGTTTGCGGGGCACGTCACGGGCCCGTATGACCCGTCGGGGCCGGCGGACGTCGGGCACTTCCTGGTCGCTGTCAAGCCGGATCTGTTTATGGGCCTGGACGAGTTTCGAGGCCGGATGAAGTACCTGTACGAGAGGGTCGTGGGGGCGGACAGGGCGGCGGGCGTGGACAGGATCTACTTTCCCGGCGAGATGGAGCAGCGCACGCAGGCGGAGCGGGAGAGGACGGGGATCCCGCTGGTGCAGGCCGAGATTGACGCCTTGAACGCCGAGGCGGCCAGGGTGTCTGCGAAGCCGCTTGTGTTTATGGACGAGTAGCGGTGGCTGGCGGTGCGGGCCATGTCCATGTTTGAAGGGACGGGGACGCGCGTTTTAATAGAGTAGAAGTTGTGATATCTGTAGTTCCCTGGATCTGGTTTCCTGTTGGAGGCAGGTGCTGTCGAATCATTTCAAAAGGCACAAGTCCTCATTTACATGTATCTACATGACTGCAACGAATCTGGTCTCACGCTACACGCAGGCATTGTAGAAAATCACGAATGGGACAGGACAAGGCTTGTCCCTTTTTTTTTTACCACCCCGGGACACGCCGAAACATGAAATGAGCCATCCAAATGCAAGGCGAAGGTGCCTGCTCACAACGCGCCTTGCATCTCGGAGATGTGTGCAGCCACCCGGCCAAACGCCGCAGCGGGTCCGGGCGACGGAGCAACGCCGCGATCCTAATTGACAGTCAATGAATATTTATACGCCCGCCTTGGCCGCCATTGCCTTGCCTCTGGTGCCGGTGCCAACGCGGAATCAATAAGCCCAAAATGGTGCTTGTTCACATCGGTAAGGCTGCCCGTCCAACACCCACCCACACCCAGCTCCACGCCTAACAAGTAACCACATGTGCAGTCCTGTTCAAGTTCAAGCCCGGCGTCTCCCCGGCGCACAAGGAGGCCTTTGCCGCAGAGCTCAAGCGGCTCCGGCACCTGCCGAGCGTCCTGAACAAACGGCTGGTGGTGGGCGGGCCCTCGGTCACGGATCCCATCGCGCGGAGCAGAGGCAATCACCTGGCCCTGGTGAGCTACCACGCGAGCAAGGCGGCCTTGGCAGAGTATGTTTTTATTTTGCGCAAACAAATGAATACTAGTGGCGCATTGAACTGGCTGACGTGCATCTCCAGATACCAAGCGAGTGACGAGCATCACAGGCAAGGCGGCATGGCGGATTCGACGCTGGACGTGGTGAGCTGACGATAGCAGGGTTACCAGCACGTACTTGTGGCCGTTTAGCGAAGAGGTGACGCGCTTCGATTTCGAAATGGACGCCGAGGACGAGCGGTGGATGGGGGGCTTCTTGTCATGTGCGGATGCGACGTTGGACACGGGTGAGCAAGAATAAGATTAAACGTAAAATAGGAACAAGAGAAAAAAAGGGACGTCAATCATGCCGCTTCGTCGGCCGAAGAGCGGCCAACGCCATGCTGCCCTTGCCGCGCCATGTGACGGCTCGTGTGGCCGATACCACGCCAGTATCAGCCGGGCCTGCAGATTTTCGATTTTACGTACCATCAACTTGGCAGCTTGTTATCTGATCTACGCACCAGTCCACATGCAGATTCAATGTTCCCGCCCCCGCCCGCCTCCGGCCCCAAGTGCATCCATCCATGTCCATCCATCAATGCTTCCCCACACCGGCGAGATAAGACATGCCCGCCCGCGAGGCCATCTCGACTTCACTTGCAACGCGGACCAAGCCGGCCACGGCATCTGCGCCATGGGCAACATCTCCATGGCGCACTTTAGCTCAAGGCATGAGCCGCGCGTGGCGTCTGGTGCACCAGACACATGTACATAGTTACACACAGGCACACGTAGCAGCCGAATACAAATACCACATATTCCCGCTCACCTCCGCTTCTTGAACATCGCGACCCCCCCAACCGGCACCATGAGGCTCGCGCTGCCCCCCAAGCCGCGCTTCCTCTCGGGCGTGCCCCCCAACGCCATCGGCATCGTGGCCCTCGTCGCGGCCGTCAACCTCGTCGTCTGGGCCAGCATCGCCGTCGTGCTGCACCACCACCCGGCCCTCATCTCCGCCGCCGCCCTCTCCTACACCCTCGGCCTCCGCCACGCCCTCGACGCCGACCACATCTCGGCCATTGACCTCATGACGCGCCGCCTCGTGAGCCTGGGCCAGCGCCCGGCCACCGTCGGCACCTTCTTCAGCCTGGGCCACTCCACCATCGTCATCGTCACCTGCGTCGTCGTCGCCGCCACCTCGGGCGCCCTGCGCGACCGCTTCGACGGCTTCACCCGCGTCGGCAACATCGTCGGCACCGCCGTCAGCGCCACCGTCCTCGTCGTCCTGTGCGCCGCCAACGCCTGGATCCTGTACGGCCTCGTCGGCGCCCTCCGCCGCGAGCTGCGCCGCCGACGTGGCCTCGCCGCCGGCACCCTCGAGCCCGCCCTCCCTTACGACCACGACCACGTCCACGGCGGAGGCGTGCTGGTCCGCGTCTTCAAGTTCCTCTTTAAGGCCGTCGACCGCCCCTGGAAAATGTACCCCCTGGGCGTCGTCTTCGGCCTCGGCTTCGACACGAGTTCCGAAGTGGCCATTCTGGGAATCGCCTCGCTGCAGGCCCTTAAAGGGACCAGCATCTGGCTCATTCTCATCTTTCCCATCCTCTTCACATGCAAGTATTTCCCTTTCCCAGCGCGGGCCTTTCTGTCAACACCACCGCCAAGATGTGACAAGATGTGACCCTATCAAGGAAAAAACTAACCCCAACAGCCGGCATGTGCCTCATCGACACGACCGACGGCGCCGCCATGGTCACCCTCTACAGCTCCAAGGCCTTCTCCAGTGACCTCGTCGCCCTGCTGTACTACCAGATCGTGCTGAGCGCCATCACCGTCCTGGTATCGGCCTTCATCGGCATCGTCCAGATCCTGTCGCTCGTCCAAAACGTCGCCGAGCCAGAGGGCAGCTTCTGGGACGGCGTCGGTGCCATCGGAGACCACTTTGACATCATTGGCGGCAGCATATGCGGAGTCTTTCTGCTCGTTGGCATTGCCTCCATCCTCTTGTACGGACCGTGGAGGCGACGCGTCGACCGCCAGACCCAGGGACTCACTGCTGCTGAAGACGAAAGCGGCCGCGGCTCCGAAGAGCCTGCATCGCCCTTTGACCAGCCTGAAGTCCCTCAGCCTGCTACAGCAAAATAGGGCTAGACGGAAGTGACGAAATAAAAAAGAAAACAGATAAAATAGAGCTAGCCAAATAAAACAACGCTGAAATCTACACTACGCTCATTGACAAATAAAACCAACCAAGACTACAACTCAGTCTGCCATTGAATCATCTCCTTGCTCCTGCTTCTTGTCGTGCTCAAACAGCTTGCAAAATGCCTTCTTGTTACAGAAGCCACACTTTCTCTGCAGAATCCCCCAACCAGCTAGTCTCTCGAACGGCGGCTGTATTTGCAACCTTTTGTAATCCTCTCTCATGGCTGCGGTTTGTCTGCTGTCGCCAAGATTGAGACCCTGCTCACAGTGCGGACAGAGCCAAGTGCCCGGGACTACTCCATCCTGTGATTTCCAAGGCCGCGTCCACACCGGACTAGACTCTCCATGACTGCTCGCACCATAATCGCTCGAGACGCTGTATAGGTAGTCATCGCTCGAGATGTCGCTCAAGATATCGCTTGACAGAGACGATCCTAATTCGACATCGCAAGGACTCAAGTGCTGAGCCATTCTAGCGTTGAGCGCAGAATTGTCTGACATGAATGAATCAATGGAGTCCTGTCGTTGGCGCTCCGCAAAGTCGTCACTTGTTTGCACCATCCAAGTCAGTTCAGACGAAGTTCCTTTTTTGAAATCCAGATGCCCATGACGGGAAGACGGCTCTTCGCCCTTGGATTGCCATTTCTCCAGCGGCAACGGCTCAGTCTCAGTGTCAATTACAGCAAGTGGCAACGTCGGCTTGAGAGGCGGGCCGTGATGCTCACTTAGCTTGGCGTCAAATGAAGATCGCTGTCCTGCCGATTTTGTTGTCAGCTTGTCTAGAGGCGTAGGATCTGGTGAGACAGGCGACTAGCTTCTCCAATCACTCGTCACTGTCTCAGTGGGTGTAAGGCTATCCAGCACTTTCCTGGCCGAGTTTTTGAGCTGACAAAACGCGTTGTCCATTTCATTCGAGTCTTTCGACAGTACTCTCACCTCAGCACACCGGGGGTGGGACATTTCTATGTGGCAATCGAGATCAATCTGGCGGCTGAATGACACATTGGGACACATCTTGCAGCTTAGCTGCGGCCATTTGACCGGGGGAGGCGACTGAGGTCCATCTCTACCAGGCGTTTCATCGCCGTCATCGCCATCTTCGTCGATAGAGGCTAGTCGGGTCCCTTGCCGCGGCAGCGACTGGCCAGACGATCTATGGGCTGCTCGACGCCGCTTTGCCTCCTCGCTTTTCAGCAGTTGGTGTGGAGGCACAGAGATATCGCCGGGCTTTGGCCTGGGATGGATGAATTTGTGTGGAAACCTGGGCGTTGCTGGCGTCAGGGCTCCAGATGCTCGTGGCGCGTAGTCTCCAAGTCCATATGTTGACGGACTCGAGGAGGTGGTGTCGGTGACAATGCCAAGGCCACCTTGGGGTTGGGAGTCATCCGAGTAACTGCTGCCTCCAGAACTCGAGTTTTGACGGCGCCTCGAGCCGAATCTGAAGATGGACGACCCGAATTTAAGCTCCTAGAGATGGCCGAGTGGCATCTTGGGGACGGCACCAAGGTGACGGGCGTCAAGCACGTAGATGGTGATTTGAGTATGCTGTGAAACGAAAGTATGTTGTCTAACGACAGATGGAAATGATGATTGAGAATGCGACGGGCGGCATGTCTGGATGATGATATGTAGTGCGTGTTGGCTGATCGCGGGAGAAGAGCCGTAGCCAAGGATGCATCATCGGACGCAGCGAAAACACGTGCTGTCTCTCTCCTACCAGTTGACCGGTTGGCCCTTCGATACGCGTCCAGAGGCAAGCGTTTGCGCTGCTCGGGGTCGATGGCTCTTGCGGTTTGGATCAAATGCATGTGTCAATACGGAGTACTAGTCTGGTTGGCGTGGCTGGCGCCGGCTGCTGTCGGCTGCCGTCTTAACGAGTTGAAAGTTCTCCAGTCAGTTGAGTTCTCTGGCGTCGCGCCCGCCACACCGCATGTCCATGCCGGCATTGACACAGACCAACTTGCCCATTCTGCATCAAAGAGCCATCAATTGACACGACAATGCATGCGAGGCCGGCGACGGCGCAAAAGTCGCGGCGTTTGCTGCGACGCTAGTCCTCAGAATGGCTAATCATGGCTTGCCATGGTGCCATGGTGCCATTGTCACCGGTCCCTGCAACCTTAAAATGTTGCCATTATCGGAGCGCCATTCGTTATCGGCCTTATCGGAGCTCAGCCATCTCCAGATGGCCAGCTGCATGCGTCAAGTCGTCTTCGTCCCCAGTGCCGTCGTGAAGCTCGTCCTTGCATCATCCGTGCAGCCTCACCCCACGCCGTCGATTCGTCTCATCCTTTTCCACGTTAGCGACGCAGGGGCTCATCATCATGTAGCGCCATCTGCGTTTGCTTCATTTCACCCACAGCCTGTTCAACACACCGCATCCTCCCACCTGAACTCCAACACCGTTCTGCTCCCGTTTCCCCAACATGGCTGCCTCGCCGGCGGCCTCGTCTCGCCGCAGCGCGGCATCATCATCGGCATCTCTCAAGCGCTCCGATGACCATCAACCCAAGTCCCCGACCATTTCCGTCGATACCCTCGTAAACCATTTACTCGTTGCCAAGCGCTCCTTGTCCTCCATGAATCATGTGCTGCGTGCCAACGAGCTTGCGACCGAGGCGCGACACTCTCACGAGGAGATGCTGCTGCTGGCGGCGCAAACCGCTTTCGTCTGCAACTATCTTCGCGATCAAAATGCCATCCTGGTGCGCATCAGGAGAAGCCTTCAGACCACCTATGAATGGGGCAAACGAGACTTCAAGAAGCTTATCAAGGCCATGGATGACGTTGACGGTGCCTTGACGGGTACCATGGACATGCTTCGAGACACACATGTGCAGACCCTCCTACAACCAAGCGATAGAGAACGGAAGAGTTTGTTAGATTTTGTCGATGAATCTAGCGTCCATGGCATGCGAGAGGTCATGAAGAAGAGCATACAGGACTTGCAGGTAAGTCAGCCTTGCCAGACCTTTATCCGCATCTGCTTGGACATTTACTTTACGGCTCAACCCTAACACATCTCTAGACTATCCAACAATCATTCGATGGAGATCTGCTCCGCCTCGAAACCGATATTCGAAATCTAGGACAGCGCATAAACGAATCCTATCCCCAGAAACCGGGCGATGATGCACATCTTACTCCCATGGTACTCCTGCAGAGTCTCGACGATCACTCGTCATCCATGGCACAGCTGTTGGCGTCGCTAACTAAGCACTTTGACATGTGCGTCACCGCGATTCGCACAACCGAAGGTGCAGCGGCCCTCGCACGCAGGAAGGCTGCCGAGGTCACGCAGTCACAAAGCAGTGACGGAGTGTCGATATCTGGCGTCATTGCCGAGCAAGAGTCGCACATGTCTGACCTCGAACCCAAGACGGCAGAAGACCGAGCGGAAATGCTCAAGGTAGTTGTACAAGACGCAGACGAGGTTGAAGACGTTGTACGAGAGATTCAAGAGCGCCTCGCGGCCATGGAGCAAGAATACACTTCATTACAAGAGCATGTAGACCATTCAAAGGAGTCTTATTTTGGTATAATTTCAGCGTTTGCATTAGTTGGACAGATTGGCGATCGCATCGACGACTACGTCGCCGCAGAGGAAGATTTCAGACTGCGGTGGGAGCTGGAGAAGGAAGCCGTTTTTGGAAAGGTCAGAGAGATGAACGAAATGAGAGATTTCTACGAGGGGTATGCAAGTGCCTACGGCAGTCTTGTCCTAGAAGTCGAAAGGCGGCGGGCCGTCGACGAGCGAGTCCAGGGCATCTGGCGCAAGGCCCAGGACTCGGTGGACAAGATACTCGAGGCGGACCGCGTGTCCAGAGAAGCCTTTCGACAGGATGTTGGCGAGTATCTGCCCGCCGACTTGTGGGCAGGCATGCAGGGCCCTGCCCAGAAGTGGACAGTTGTTCGCATCAATGATGATGATTCGGCGGCTGCCAGCATGGTAGGCAGGCCTGATTCGGGGCAAGGATCGAGGATGGCGAGCACTCCGCGACCGCCTGCGGACTAGAATTTCTAAGCTGGCATATATCGCCTGATTGCACGTGAAGTATACTTGACCATTGGTAGTAAATCAATCGACTAGGTTTGCACAACATGATGGCGAACGAGCCATTTGACGGTGCGGTCATGAGAGCATGCTGTGTCCCCGCGTTTCGACTTATCGTCAAGCTCTACTTTCCTATTTTGACTTAGCTTCAGTTACACAACATGTCAAGTTGGATGCCACACACTGGGTACGGCAACCACTAGGCTGCGGGGGTGGGCCAATGCAGGCTGACGGGAGGACCAGTCTGGTGCAAAAAGCTGTTGAACAGTGTAGAAAGCTGCTAACAGTATAGGAAGTTACTGACGGTATAGGAAGCTACTAATAGTATAAGCATAGTCTGATTTATATAAAGAACTTATATATAAAAATTACTTGCTAATTAATATAAATATATGTAATATACTGTAGTGGTAATTTTGTAATTTCTTGTAATTGACCTCTTAACTTATTGTAGGTTAATTAAGGCTCTTAACTTCCTCCCTTTTTTTTTTCTTTTTTCTTTTTTTTAATTAGTTAAAATTACATAAAAACCCACTTTTTCTGGACCGTTTAGCGCCTTTTGGACCATCTGTTACTCCGTAGGCGGCCCGAAATTCCTGTACGGTTCAACACGGCCTGTACGGTCTGACACCCCCCCTATAATTTACCACTTGACGCATGCAGGCTGACGGGAGGACGCCAACGCAGGCTGACAGGAGGACGTCAACTGGAAGCTGACAATTGCCTGCAGTGATAAATGGGTTGAGTCTCGCAAGTCGCAAACTGCTGCAGACTCCTGGATCTTCATGGTCTGCATCAGAAGTTCAAAACCAACACCACACCAGCTACATCACCACTTGTCGAGCCAGCATGCGACTTCGTGACGACCTCATCCTCGGCTTATCTGCCATCGTCACGGCAGGCGCTGCTGCTCCCGAGTTCGACTGGGATTCCATCAGCCCGTCCACAGACCTCCGGTACCATGACTGCTATGCCGCCTTCAAATGCGCCCGGCTCAAGCTCCCCCTCGACTGGAAAAATAGTACCGACCCACGAACCGTCGCCATTGCCGTCATCAAGCTCCCTGCCAAGATACCCGATCATGACCCTGCCTTTGGCGGGCCCATCTTCACCAATCCCGGCGGGCCAGGCGGTTCAGGTGTAAGCTTTGTCGTTGACAACGGCCATTTTCTGCGGGACTACGTCGACAGCCCCGGCAAGAAGCATTATGACATAGTTTCCTTTGATCCTCGTGGGACTGGGAATAGCAGGCCCCTGGCCAACTGTTTCCCTGTCGCTGCTCTTGCCAGGGATGCGTGGAAGCTCGAGACGAGAGGGAACGGGGGGCCGGATAAAAGCCTAGCGGCAATCTCATACGGATTGGCCCTGTACGATGGATACGGAAGGAGATGCGAGAAGGCTGACGCCGAGGGTCTGAACGGGGGCGAGATTTTCAAGTATCTGGGGACGCCGTCCGTCGCCAGAGACATGGTTGCCATGGTGGACAGCATTGACGAGCTGAGGAAGACGGAAGCTGCTCGTGATGGGCCCGTGGAACTACTGAAGAGGAACGAAGGGGATGTTCCGAGACTGCAGTACATGGGGTTTTCGTACGGCACCATTCTTGGAAACTACTTTGCTTCGCTGTTCCCGGGGCGCATTGGACGAATTGTGCTCGATGGAGTCTCCAACGCCGACGACTATGCTACCGGCCCCGTGAGTCTTTCCTCCCCCCCCTTTCCCCCAGGCCCGTCCATTCTGATAGGAACTAACCAGACGTGTGGTGCAGGGCTGGCTGACAAACAGTGTCGATTCCGACGCCATCGTTGACAAATTCTTTGACGGGTGTTTCCACGCCGGTCCCCAGGTCTGCCGTCTCGCCCGCCCCCAAGACAAATCCGCCTCAGACCTGCGCACCCGATTCTGGCCATGGGTCAAACAGATCGACGAGGCACCCGTGGCCGGCGTCGGCCCCCTGGGCAGCTCCGTCGTCCTGACGGGCACGGACATCCGCCTGGTCCTCGTCGGGGCGGCCTACACGCCCCTCAAATCCTTCATCCAGACCGCCGAGGTCCTTGACAACGCCATGGTCCACGGAACCTACGACACCATCCTGGCCATGATCGAGTCCGGGCTCGGCGCGCCCCTCCAAGACGCGTGTCCCGTCGCCAACCAGACCGCCAAGCCGGACCTGGGCACCGACCCCCTGACGGCGGTCCTCTGCGGCGACGGCGAAGACATCCGCGGCAAGAAGCCGTCCTGGTGGGCGCGCTACGTCGACAGGCAGCTCGCCCAGTCGGCCGTATTCGGCGGCCTCATGTCCACCGTCCGCTTCCCCTGCTCCGGGTGGCGCTTCAAGCCCAACTGGTCCTTTCGTGGGCCCTTTACCTCCCCGGAGCCCGCCCGCGACGGCGAGCAGCCGCAACGGGGCCAGCCCGCCGCGCCGATCATGTTCCTGACCAACAGGCTGGATCCCGTCACGCCGCTGGCGTCTGCGCGGGCCATGGCCAGGAAGCACCCGCACGCCAGGGTGGTTGTGCAGGAAGCCATGGGGCATTGTGCCGCCATCTCGGCGTACAGCGAGTGCACGAGGGGCATCGTCGCCAGGTACTTTGACACGGGGAAGTTGCCGGACGGGGAGGCGGTTTGCGAGGCCGAGTGTGGCCCTTGGGATGCAGGCTGCGCGAGGACGATGCCGAAGTCGAGTGGCGAGGATGCGGGCGAGGCCTCGCTGGCGAGGAGGTTCCCTCTGGGGGTGTAGTTTGTGGTTGTGACTTCAACAAGTGACTGAGTTTTGGCTCGAGATGCATGAGGTATGGTTTTGCGACATCGTCTAGTTCCGTAGGGTTATCGCCAAGGCTTTAAAAGTTTATGCAGCAAAAAGGAAGATTAAGTACTGTGCCGACTGGTGTGGCGCTAGATATGTGGGTGACGTCGGACTTTATTTATTATTCTTCTCTTTATATTACAAGGCCCTGATGCCAACGAGTTGTCCTGGCGTAGGCAAAGCGCGCGAGATGTTGCTTATTCACATCCTGCGGGGGCCTGTTGAGCCAACAACAGCAATTTGCACGATGGAAAATAACGGTACTTTGGGAGGCTTTTTAGGGCCTCAATTGACAGTGTTGTATTAATGATGAAAAAAGTGATGATTAAATGTCTCAGTTGATTGATTAAAAATCCTGCAAGTTTGACCGCTTTTATACCTGGTCAGAGACCCCTGCAAGTGTGGAGTGAAATATGATAATTGCAGCTGCTATGGTAACAATCCGTAGGCGTCTACAAGTTTTGCCCTGTGGCGCTTTTATATTGGAAAAAGGGGCTTATAATACTAGTTATTTATTTTGTTATATATAAATATAAAAAAAGCTAATATATAATAGATACCAAGGGGATAAACATGTCTAGTCAAAGGAGTAAGCCCACGGACAACTTACCTGTCAGGTTATGTGACCTGTTATCCAAGGATTAGAAATCCGATATACAGTAAACCTGCTCTATAACAATCATGTATCTTAGCAATGATTAGGTTATTACGATAATTCACGGTCATCTAAGGTTTTTCCCTAGTAAATTATTAATAGTCAGGTTATTAACAATATTGTAGGTATTAAGCTTAGTCACTATATAAATCAGGGCTTTTATTGTTATTACGGGCCTACTAAGGCCTATAAGAACCTATTTAAGGCCTACAGCGCGTTTTTCTAGCCGTGACGCGGTCAAAAAAAAAACCAATCCTTGTAAATGTACCTTATCATAGTAAATATATGTAAAGGTATATGAGTCATGACCCATAATAGTCGCACCTTGACGATAGTCGCCGAATAACGATAAGAGGGGCCTCGCGAAGCATACATATTGTTATAGGCCCGGTTCACTGTACTCTGTAACTCGGTAATATCAGTTGATATTTGAGTTCCCCACCCAGGTGTCTTTACTCGCCAGTAACGTGACCCGTCAGACCGCGCGCTCTTTCCACGTTGAATTTATGTAGCGGCCCTCTGCTGCCCCTTTTCTCATCGTCGCCGCCACCTTCCCACCCGTCACCGACTCTGAATGGCGAGCCGCCCGTCGAAAATGGCGGCCGAATTTACCATGAGGAGCCCGCTGGAGAGACTACCGTTCGAGGTTCTGGGAATGATATGCGCTTTTCTTCCGCGAGCCGATTTAAAAGCCCTTCGCCTGGTCTCTCGTGCTTTCGATGGACCGTCACTCTCGACGCTTTTCAGGACGGTTTACCTGAAAGTGCATCTTGGGAGCTTTGAGAAGCTGCTGGACATTTCAAGATCGGAGAAGCTCAACAAGCATGTGAGGTACATCAGCTACGATTGTAGAGTCCTGAATGCTTCTAGAGTCAGTCCCGACTTGGCCGACTGGGTGGCCAAGACCGCTTGCGATGGGTTGTGTTCCCGATACCACGTAGCCTCTTTTGTGCAGCAATTTACCCAAGAAGAACTACACGGTTTTTACCAAAACTATCGCCAGTTTCTGTCTGACCAATAGCACATGTTGAAGGACGACAACGAGAACCGTATGCTTCGAGACGCTTTGCAGAATTTGCCACGACTATTGGGTGTGGAAAGCAGGATGCCAGATCCTCGGGAAATGTCTAGGGTACTGCCACCAAGTGAACGGGCATGGTCACAGAATTCCTTGAGCACCGTAGCGCAGAAGATTTTGGTGGAGCCTCCCCCGTTGGATGGAGGGGAGCGCGAAGCGACACGTCATTTCTGGGCTCTGCTGCAGTCCGCCTGTCTCGCGGGCCATGCTGAGCGACTGACGCATATTCACGGCGAATACATGGAACTGAATAGCTGGCGTGATGCCGCAGCCTCCTGCCTTGCTAATTATGACGAGGGTTTCCCGTCTCTGCAACACCTCTCGCTCAGTTTTAACGACTACGAACATTCCGACGAGGCAACCGACTACATTGGCGGCATCATCGCCGATGCGCCGTCACTGCACTCTCTCCTCTTGTACTTCGACAATGGTGATTATATGCCTTTCTGCGAGTTAGTCTGGCCCGATGTGGAATTGCACCATCTCCGAAGCCTATCACTTTTTGGCTTGTGCGTAACCGAGACCCAGTTGCGCGACGGTCTAGGAGCGTTTCGCGGAACTCTCCGCTCCCTTGAGCTGGCGGACATTTCCTTTGTTCCGGGCTCCTGGGTTCTCTTCTTCAGATTTCTGAGCAAGGAAATGACCTTGGATCATGTGAAATTGTATGAATTCTTTACCAACTATCGCGACGAGGCATGGGTCGCTCGTGATGAAAGGCAAAGCCCGTTGCCTGCCTTGGCTGGGGCATCAGCACGGGATTCTCGTAAATACTTGGTATATCGCATTGAGCGCTTTATCACAGGCCGTGGTCGATACCCCGATCCGTTCACCCCGCGGAAGAAACGAGACGGGGACTTGGAAAAATACGGTTACAGTTTACCATGGGCATTTAAGCAAGATAGGTCATGGTATCACGCGGACACTGTGTGGAGTGCTAGGGAATGGGAAAATACATACCCGTTGGCAACTAAGTGGACCCTTCCTACTTAATTGGCCATAAAATTCTAGGACAGCTATAAAAGGCCAGGATAAGCTTTACCTAGACTTTTATATATAAATTAATTACCCCTCTAGAAGAGGTAAAACCGCCAATATAAATTTACTTGGTAGCCTTGGCTTTATAAGCTTTTTTAGTTCTTTTAGCTTTTTTTATAGCTTTTCTTATAGCTAATTTAATAGTTTTTTTAATATTATATTTTAATTAAAAGTAAGTACTAGTTATCTTAGACTTTCATGGCTGTCTTAGAATTTTGTGGCTAACTAAGTAAAAGTCCACTTAGTTGCCAACGGGTAATACATTGAAGTGGGACCGAAGGAGCGATGGAGGCTGTGGCGGGTGTCCCATCCACAGCTTAAGACATCGAGCTCCTTGTATATTTGGTATTGGTACATACACAGCTCATCCTCCGGGATGAGGCGAAACTAGCACACGGTGTTAACGAACAGATAGTGTTTACCATTTGGCTGCTAGTTTGCTAGCGTCTAATGCATCGCGATGCGGGTATTCATGGTGTTTTACGTGGTCTGTTACGGATATATGGCTTAGGCACGACCAGCCATATTGCGTCGTCTTTACTAGGCCCTACCCTGATGTAGTGCTTCCATTAGTATTTGGATAGGTTGGAGAATAAAAGAACTAGGTTAAATACGAACATGTCGAATTAAGATTGCCACTAGTTCCCTCACCACACACCCGAACCATGTGCGGCGGAACTTGTAGTCGGCCATGTATTCGTGACGTAGAGCTTGGCAATGTCTGCGATTCGGGCTGTGGTTGTTGTTCTTCTCTGTCCTCGCTATTTGCTTTAGCAATCCCTTTGGATTATACGTGTCTGTCCTAGTGCCAGTATGTAAATAGCTGATCAATCTCTAGTAGGCCTGCTATAAAATACATAGTACATGACATCTATGGGTACTTCCACGGCGAGCATTCCCTATTCGTCGTTTCTGCAAAGCAGTGTCATTGCGAATGCAAATTACCATGCTATATTCTCTCATGAGTCGCAGCGACACATATCCAAAGACTGCGTGATGAATCATCTTTGCAAAATCCTTGGTCGGATACCGGACTGGGAAGAGCGTCAAAAAAAAAATAATAAACAATAAAATCCTAGTGCAAATCTACCATCATATTCCCCTGCACTGCTCAAAGGGCATTAATATCCGCATCTGACATGTAATGGGAACCCCCAGCGCATCTGTAACCACCGCTTTGCTTAATCCAGTGATAGCCAACGGGACATCTTCCAAGAGCCATTAATCTTGCCTTCATAGCCGCCTCTTCTTTCCTACGTTTTTCTTCTTCTATCAACTGCCGCACAATGCGCTCCCGATTCTCGTCTGTAGCAGATTTCTGCGCCTCTTTTAATTCGCGATACTCTGCCTCGCGGCGTTGCTCCTCGGCCCAATCTTGCTGAAGCTGTTCCCAAACCTCATCTCTTACACCAGCGTCCCGAATGCCCAGGCCATCGCAGGCCGATTTGTCTTGGTCGGGCTCCTCCGTACTGACCACGTCATCTGTCTTGTTTGTGCGCTCTTCTTGCTGGGATTTGGTAGATATATTGCTCTGGGAGGGCAAGGGTGGTCGCGAACCCTCGCGCAGTTGGAGGTTCGCCAAGTCCAGGCTCAAGTCTGTCGCCGCAGCATCTTGTTCCATTTTTGAGCGTTTCAGGAGCATGGTGTTAAGCGCTTCGCTGACCTCATCTTGCTCGACTTTTAATGACGGAGAAGAAAGATCTACATTGCGAAAGATGTCCTTGGCAAGCTGCTTAACATCCCTCGCGCTGGCCCATCCCTCGACCCCTGAGAGTGACCGAAACAAGTCCAGAATGTTCCTTTCAAAATCTTCGGATGGGTATTGCAAGCAGGACAAGTCTAGCAGTTTTCCTTTTCGCTCAATGTCTGCCTTCCTCTTGGCCAGCGAGCTTGTGAGCAGCTTGAGGCAGTCCTCAGCGCTGAGCGGGTCAAAGTCTATCGTCTCGGGGAATCGGCTCGTCATCCCAGGATTCGCAGACAAAAGATTGTTGATGTCTTTGACGTAGCCGGCCAGGATTATGATGAGCTTGCCTTTGTACTTTTCTTTGGTGACCGAGTCCACGAGCTCGTCAACTGCTTCCTTTGCGAAGCCGTGCCCTGCGAGTCGGTAGGCCTCGTCGATGAACAAGACTTTTCCGAGCGCATTGTTCAAAACCTTGTGGACTTTTGGACCGGTATGTCCAACGTACTGGCCAATGAGGTCTGTTGCTGAGCATTCGACCACCTCGGCCTTGCTGAGGAATCCCATGTCGTAGTACAACTTGCCAAACTTCCTTGCCGTCATCGTCTTTCCGGTGCCTGGGGGACCTCGAAATAAAAAGTTGAATGGGATTTCCTCGTCGACATCCATTCCCAGGCTCTTGAGCTGCCTGAATCTATCCTGGATATTTTTGAGTAGTGAAATGACCTTTTCGCGTCCGATATCCCCTGCAAAGAGTTCCTCTACATCAGTTGCGCTCCGGCGGTCAAAGTTGTCATCAAAGTCGACTGCCTCCAATTGGCTTCTTTTCGCTTTTCCCGCGGAAATCCGCTTCTGATAGCCGCCTTTTGCTTTACTCAATAAGTTGTCTATGGCACCAGCATTGCCAAAATTCGGACGGTTACGCTCCCGGGAAAGAATGTCCAGCGCAACTCGCTTGGCCTGCGCAGTTGCCTGGAATCCACCATCTTTGAGCTTCAAATCCAGGATTCGTGATAGGGCATCGTCGTCAAAGTCTTGGAATATGAATGGCGAGTCGATGGCGAAGCGGCGACTGAGCCCTGGATTAACATTTTGGAACATTTCCTCCATTTGTTCCTTGTATCCCAGAAGTATAACACATCTGTCTTCGCCGGGCACATTTTGAACCTCGGCCACAATGGTGTCCACGACAGCAGTCCTATATGGGTCGGCTACATGCGAGCCATCGGCACCCCCGGCACCTTGCAGCCCGTATGCCTCGTCAATGACGAGAACTTTACCTATCGTCGAGGCGAGTATGGCCTTGGTCTGCGCCTCAGACTGTCCAAGCACAGACCCAATGAAGTCGGCCGGCGTCTTGACAACTACCTCACCGTTCGACAACATGCCCAGTGATGCTAGTATCTTGCCGTAAAGCTTAGCCACTGTCGTTTTCCCAGTTCCGGGAGACCCGATGAAGACGCGGTTGAGAGAGAAGGACATGAGGGGTTCTTCTTCAAGCTCTCTTTGGTAGTTTGTTGTAAGTGAGTCCAGCAGAACCCTAACCTCCTGCTTTACTTCGGCAAGGCCAATCATTTCATTCAGCCTCTGCCATGCCTTGCAATTGACCAACGTCGCGGATGGCTCCGGACCAATGATGTCTTCTTTGGTGAGAAAATGATCGTCAGGCTTGGCACCGGACCGGCGTGCTTGCCGAAGCCTGGTTGACTGCCTCTTCCCCATCTGTGCCAGTACATTCTCTACAGCACGAGCATTACCAAAGCCCTCTTTACCTCGACCGCGACCAATCCGCCGAGCAGCTATTCGGAAATACAAGCCGTCGGGCCCGTCTTCAATGGCCATTCTGCCCTTGTATTTCCGGTCAACCTGGCGTTGGAGGATCTGGAGCAGCTCGTCGTCTGAGTAGTCGTTGAATCGCATCTGGATCGGAAATCGGCTGGGAAACCCAGGATTATGGGCGAAAAAGGTTTCCATTTGCTTGTCATAGCCCGCAATAACGAATGACACTTTGCCACGGAGGTTCTCTACCTCGGCAAGGAGATAGTCCAATACTGCCTTGCCGCCGGGACTGTTCCCCGAGGACAACTGGTAAGCTTCGTCAATAAATAACACGCCCCCTCCATTGTCCTTCAGGTCCTCTAAGAGCTTTTCGCAGCCAGAAACGCCCATATTGGCAAGCTTGGATCCGGAGGTTTCCTTGAAGCCATCGCCAGGGAGAGCTCCTGTACATGCAAGGAATTCTGCCCACAGGCGAGCAACTGTTGTTTTTCCTGAAATTGTGAGTTAGCACCCATGCCATCTGCCATGTATTTGGGGCACATCTTACCCGTCCCCGGATTGCCCAGCAATGAACAGCTCAGTCTTTCCTCGGACAACGATAGCTCTTGCCGGATTTTTGTATCAATGTTGGACTTGACAGCCAAGAATTCCTCCTTTACAGTCTCGAGACCTATTAGGTCCATGAGTTTGTTGAGAGCCTCATTACTGGGCTCACCGTGCTCTTTCATCCATTCCCATTCTTGCTGTGCTTGACTCTTAAGTTTGGAGCCCGAGTTCTTGCTGTTTCCCGTCCTAGGTTGGTCCTTCCGCGCTTGTGCCTTTTTGGAACTTTCAACTGCCTCTCTCCTTTCTTGGGCTGCCTTCAAGCCCTTCAGCTTGGCCTTCTTTTCTTCCAGCTGAGCCTGTTGCGTCTGCTCTTCTCTCTTGTAAGCCAAGACGCGCTCATAGTGATCAATCTCATCGCCAATCTTTTGAAGTTCACTAGCATATGCGGCTTGTTTTTCTTGTCTCATGATCTCTAACTTCAAGTCTTGTGCGGCGCGCCGGCGAATCTCTTCATCTTCGCGAGCACACGACTTGCAGCCTTCAACTTTTGTTGAGCAGAGGATTTTCGACTTGTGCCCTCGAACACAAGTATGAGAGACCCTTTTGTTGCAGGGAAACTGAGAATGATCAATAGCTCGATGGCATCGAAGATCACAGGCATGCTTCCCACAGCTCAACGGCTTGCCACTAACAAATGTTAAAAGGGGGGATCAATGCTGTAACACTAAAACGGAGAATAACCTACCAAGGCTCTGAACAGCCCCCATCAGGGCAATGCTGGTCGAAGTCATTTGCTGATTTCAGGAGTGCCTCTCGATCAGGGTGTCGCTCACAATACACAGGCACACCATCGAACAAGCACTCCTTTTCTTTAAGGGCCTGGAAAAAGTCTCCCCACAACTCGCCGCCCTTTTTACTCTTTGTAAAAGTGTGCATATTTCCAAATAGCACGGCGCAATTCCTCGCTCGTGACATGAGAACCACCAGTCGCTCGGGTGCGGCCATGAATCCGATATCTCCAGATGAGTTGCTTCTGGTGAGAGACGCGATGACAATGTCGCTCTCCTCGCCTTGGTAATTATCTATAAAAGTTAGCTTTCAACACCAGTGCAGTTACCATTTCTTATGACAAACCAATGGTGGACAACCGCAGCGGCTGTTTGTTCACTTTGGCAGCGGCTTGTGTCATCAGCCCGGCACGAGTCAATTCATATGAGTCCAGGTCATTCAACCAGGGGTCATGATCACGACTGAGTTTTTGTCTCAACAACGACAGCTGACCCAAGTACGGCGTCAGGACTACCATGTGCTTGGATTTATATCCTTGCTGGCTTAGGTACCGGACCATCTTGAGCACCATTTCAGCCTCGAACGCGTTTTTCTTGGACTCTCCCAGCTGACGATCGGCCACATCAGCAAGTTTCTCCTCCTGGTGCTCATGATGGACAAAAATAACTCTCCCTTTGAGTCCTCTGACTTTTTCACGCTCGAGGGTTTTCGGATTATTTTCAAGATGTTCATAGGCCAGGCGACGGACAAAGTGGGAAATCTCGGGATGGCTGCGATGCTGTTCTCGGAGAGTAGTATATGAGTGGCCCTGATGTATCAGCCTTTCGAACATGGACATGTTGAGGTTGAACCCTTCGCCCTTTTCCACTGTGAGGGTATAGTTGTTTACCTTGGGGCGAAGTTGTTTATGGTCACCAATGAGCACGAGCTGTTTCACCGATGAGCTGAGTGCAGTGATGATGTGAGCTTCTAGAATCTCTCCTGCCTCTTCGACTAAGACCATGTCAGGCTGCGCTGACTCGATGATAGATTGGTACATGGCCGCCGCAGTAGTAGTGCAACCAATAACACGTTTACTCCGCAGAACCTTTCGCTTGGATTCGTTGTACAAACTGTCAATTTCTCGCTGAATCCTGCTCGACATCTCCGCAAGGCTAGCAAACTCTTGGGTCTGGTCATGGCGTACTTTGGAGCACCACTGATTCAAAAACTCCGTTCGCGAGCTGATGGGGATGCTCCATACCGAGCGAGATGCTGGGTCCATGGAGGCTAGCAGAGCACGAACAACACCGGAATCTTGCCCCTGTACCCATAACTCCAGAATTTCACCTGCTCGAATCGGCTTGTTATTCTTGCCCATTAGTTCAAAGCCATCATCCTGCTTTGGGACTTGAAATGCGGGCCAAAAAGGTGTCGCATCTTCGGAGAACTCCAGCAGCGTAAGTATGTCATCTGGGTCGACGTAGGCGGTTGCGAGTTTTTCCCCTACATCAACGAGCCGTTCATTGACGTCAGAGGCTTCTGATTTATACTTTCGAATGGTAGCATTGACTTCAAAGGAGAACCGAAATGCTGGCTGTTTGCAGAGTGTTTCAAGCCGAAGAGGTTCAGTTCTCGTTGTCGATTTGGAACCGATCCGCACCATGTCCCTTTCCGATACTCCGATGTCCAATAGGTCCTCGAGAAACTGGTCCAGAGCATGGTTTGTATAGCTCAACACCAAAATCCGATAATTGGTGAGCTTAAGGATGATTCTCGATATCAGAGCCCCGATGAATGATTTCCCCGTGCCTGGCGGACCTTGTATCTGACCAACGCAGTTTTCCAGACCGTTGATCAGAGATTCCAGCTGTGCACCAGATACACGGATAGATCCGCCTATGTGGCCGAAGGAGGACAGGTTAACTTCTTGTTGCTTGTCAAGTGCTGCTCGGAGTTGCCTCAATAATTGCGACAGTTTTTCAGGCGGCTGATATAGGCTTGTGGCCGATTTTGGATCCAGCACCATGTCTTCAAGTGGTATTTCGTAAATCTCCTTCAACCGCTGCAAGATGGGCTCATAGGCAAAAGTAGCGGTATCGACAACATGAAATTGGAGTTCACCTTTCATAGGATGTAGGAGTGCTTCCAATGAGTTCTTCAATGCCTCTACGTTGATGAACTTGATGACGACAGTGGGTGTCTTTTTCAGCAGCAGGTCGACATTGCGAATTAGACAGCCAAAGGCGATGATATCATTGTTACGGCACAATACGCCTATAGAGTTGTTTTTCATGAACGATTTTCCAGAGCCTTCGAGGAAGGTTTTTCGATCTCTCTGGTCAATCGAACGAGGGAATACGATTCCATCCTCGCATTGCAGCTGTAGAGCCAGTGGATTAACACGCGTCTTGCTGCCGTCGCCGAATCCTACGAGGCTCAGTCCGCCAAGACGTGGAGGTTTCCGCCGTCCCTTCCTCTGGCCCCATGCAATGGCAAGATTGTCCCTCATATCTGCAAGCATGTCTTCTCTCAGTAGCCGATAGAGCCACGAGAGGTATGTAGCTGACCGAGACTCGCGCGGAACATCGAACACATCATCTAACCGTTGCAGAAATGGTTCATCCATGGAACGGACTTCATCTGCGGTCGGATAGATGGAGATTGCGCGAAAGTCCAGGAAGTCATTGTCATGGCGGCCACCGGGGCCATGACCTGTGGTTGCGGTAGCCGCAATCGAGTGCAGTTTGAGGATTTTTTCGATTCGATAGGCCAGTTTCCTGACCGGATGTGAGGCTGCTCTGATGAGAGACTGGCTATCCATCAAAGCCCCAACGTCGCCATACAGTGTGTCAAGTTCGGGAGACTTCATTGAGACAATCTCCAAACAAAGCCAGGCAAAAGTCTCAACTTCACCCACACTAAATCCAGTACTCTGCTGGTGTTTGAGAACAGCTGACCAGAAAGTAGGGGGGCACAGGACCGCGAACAAGATGCGTTGAAGAAAGTGCCCACTGTTGATGGTTTTTACCATGGGATTCGAAAGATGCTTCATCAGCATGGTCATGACAGATGAGATGAAGCCCGTGGAGAGATCGCTTCGCACAACGCTCCCCAGAGTTTCGACTCCTTTCGCGCTCGAAATGATCGACTCTACATAAAAAGCTGGCGTTTTGCATCGACATAAGATGTCAGTGGCCTCAAGAAAGTGATTGGCATCCTGATTGGTGCTGATTGTGCTTTTCCCCTCAATGTTGTTCTTAAACCGCTCTATCAGCTTTTTCGCTCTCCCAGACGCCAACTCTCCTGACGCCATTTTGAGGAGAAGATTGACAAGAGCAAGGCTTGTGAAGTAGAAAGTATAATTATCAAAGAGAATCACCACGCGGGTAAAGAAAAGGTTGCATGATTTAGGATTGAGCAGTCAGCAGCTCCGTCTTAAATGTTTGTCAGTTGGGTTTTAGGTGCCCGAGATGTCGGCGTTTGTGTCACACAACGGCGGGACAAGGCTTGGGGCAGCAGAGGTTTCATAGGTCAACCTATTGGCAGCCTGGTAAATTGTGAATACGGTGTGGGTGTCAGACCAATATTCTGCAAACGGTGTTGGCCAGCTCGATTATGGTTGGTGTCCTCCGTTTGCCTCATGCGTCTGACTCATTGTATACCTTCGATGAATCCAACATCACTGCATCACATGAGACAGAATGTCCCCCGCATTTCATCAGTCACAGTGATTGCTTAAAAGGCAGCCTACATCTTGATTTGGCAGCGCTTGACCTACTCGAGGTGAATTGCTCGGCGGGCTCACTCTTTTTGCTAGGTGCGCTCACCCCCCTTAGTAGGTAAGTGTTTATTATATTTAAACTTTTTTTATATATTTTAAGAGATAATTTATAATAAATATCCAGGTACCTGGAGGTGCATGAGCGCACCTAGCAAAAAGAGTGAGCCCGCCGAGCAATTCATTCGACGAGATTTGTTGTCAAATCTCACACATTTGGTGTGCAAGGTAGAACTGAGAGGTCCTACACAGCAGTAACCGTCATCCAGATGCAGCGACCTTATTTTCGAAGCGGGAGAACCCCTTGGGGAGACTCCTCTCGCGATAGTTGGTCCAGGCAAATGCCGGAACAGCCATTGCGGTTTCCTGGTGTGCGTGTCTTTTGCAGAGGTTAGCCGAAGGGCCGGTGATGTGAGTGATTGGGCCTGGGTGAAGCCGGCTCAGCGGATGGTGAGAAGCAAGGTCCCTTCACCTGATGCTCCGGTTGGGGATCACATCGAGACCATTTCTCCGAAGGACATGCTTGACAAGAAAGCTTCGCCAGAGATGGCCGACATTGGTATTTCCGGCACTGAATTCATCGCATCGTACAACTGGCTTGATGATTGCTATCCCAAGATTTTCATCCCAGGTGCGCATGTCTGCGTGACTCGCTGTGCTCGTTAACCTCCCGACTGACCTGCCGACCAGGCAAGCCTCCGTTGTGGACTCCTCCTCTTATACGCCGCCAGCTTCAGGAGGACAAAGGCATCTTCTATCGAGATCGCAACGCAGCATCGTACCCTAAGCATCCAATTGAGCCAGCCATCGTGTCGGTTATGCAGATGCATAGTACGCCACGACACGTAGACGTGTTTGCGTGCGCGAGCACGCTGAGAAAATTGCTTGGGTTCCTACAGGGCGACGATAGGCCGTTCCGGATGCTTGTTGAAGTTATTGCCGGGACCGTTCATCTTATCCGTAGGGAAAATAGACCAAAGGAGCAGATCCTTGGCGTGAGAGGCTACGGCCACACGTTCCCAGAAGCGTATACTACTTGGGAGGCAGACGTGAAAAGATCCATTTCGCATCAGCGCATCCTCGGATATCGGTTTTGTGGTCTCGACATGATGGTGCGATACGAGGGCGACGGCTACATCAAATCGGACAAGACACCACTAAAGACGAGTAATAAGGCTGACCTGCTGGAGCTACTCGGCGGCCTCCAGGTAGACCGCGCGGGCAAAGCGACGAGCTCTGACGATTCCGAGAGCATTCTCCACGTGGGGAACGCAGGAGAAGAAGTAAAACAGGAGCAGGTTTTTGACTTGAAGACGCGCTCAGCCAAACGACAAGACGAGGATATCCTGGCAGAGGAACTGCAACGCCTGTGGATTGCCCAGATCCCCAACTTCATTCTCGCGTTCCACGACCGAGGCCATTTTGCAAATGTGCAGATTCAGAATGTGAGAGACAAGTTGAAGGATTGGGAGGCACAGAATCAATCCTTGCTGAGGGGCTTCTTTCATCTCCTGGGCCACATTATTGACACGGCGGGCGACTACGGAGATAGTCAGCTCGAGATTGTCCGACCGGCTGGAGGTGGACTCGAGATCCGAAAACGAGCGCCTGAGGCAGGGAGTGTTCTCTCCGGTCCGGTGAGGCAAATCTGGGCAACGTGGCTGAGCGATGGTGAGGATGCAGGGCACGACGTGAGAGCAGCCTCCTTGGATATGCACACGGCGAAGGAAACCAGCAGCGAGGATGACACTGCCTGCGACGATCAATGCGGCTATTGTGGGAAGTGTGCCTAGTAGGTGCCTTATGGATTCAACTGAGAGGGAACCAATCGATTGCACCCATGTGCTCTGCCGTCTGAATCCCTCGATGAATTTTACCCATTTCGACAGTGGCATCTTGATCTTGGTTCGGTTGCTCTGATTGTGAGGTGGTTAATTGTGATGGTGCAGAGTATTGTGTACAGTAATACCCTTCATCGCCTTGATGCGCAAATGATGTGTATGATTATGAAAGCTATCAGTTGTTGCCAGTTGGGGTTCAACTTGGGGATGGTGAGATGATGGTCGTAGAATCGCACCCCGACAAGCTGTGCACATCGTTTATGTGAAATCACCTCCTCTTATTTTGCAAAGTGGGGTGAATAAGCTTATCCAAGTCTACAAGTCCCCCGATACATACATTCCCCACTCTTATTACATCAATACCTCATTTGCAGCTGTCAAAGGACTGGAAGTACTTAAATAGCATGTGGGAGGCAGTTCCACTCCAAAGATATGCTCGAGTCAAGGTGAGTTATTCGCTTTCAAACAATGACAATGCTAGACCAAGGTATGAACCCCATTTCACACACCTTTTGCGCCCTGGCTAATCCTAATGTCACAGTCACCACGGCCGTGTCCCTACTATTACTATGCATGTTTCTACGCATCGCCTGGGAATCTGGAGCGTCTGCAAGACGGACTAGTAGGGCTCAATACTCCTCGTCATCGTTTCGAAGCGTGGCTGTGCTAACTCGTCCAAGAAATATGGCTTGGTGCCCTGATGCTCAATGCCGCACTTCTCATGACGAGAGCGATGCAAGTGGGCTCGCTTCACCCACAGTACCGCAAGCTCCTGTTTCTATGGGCTGCTGAAATGCTCCTCTGTTTCGTCACTTGGATGTGGTCGTTTCAACCGCCGGAAACAGAGCGCTGGGCCGATGGTGATGCGGCGCGCGCGGCCCCAGAGGCTGCCGTACCTGCTGATGCCAAGGGTAGCAAGTGATGTGAAGCGACGGCCGACAATTGCCAATGCGAAGGAAATACAGATCATTGCTGCAAGGTGAAAATAGCCGTCGTTGGGACATGCACTGGAGTAGGAAATACTCCGTTGGTTCCTCTAACCTGGGAAGCGAGTCGCTCACAATTCTTCGTGCTTACGTTGTCCTACTCGGACCATTAGCCCGCGCGAGAGCACACACATCAACCAGCCCGACTGATCAGAGTACATCAAAGTAATCGAGGTATATGGGATTGAATAAATGACAGGTCCTCTCTAACTAGCCAAACAAACTGGTTCTCTGAGGGCATTGGCCATCTGCCCGCTTTTGATATACCCGTATCCTCTGAGCGCCACTGCAGACACATGCCGTCGTTTTACCTACAGGAAACGAGCCATCTGCCCACAAGAATCGACCGTCTCGTAATTGAGGCCAAAGTTGACGGTTTCCGGAATGATCCTATAGTAAAAGTTTGCCGCGTGGCCGGTCTCGACGAAGCCAATCATGTCGTGCATGTTGCAACAATTCGCCCTGTTCGCCCACCAGTGAGCGAGCGTCTGCGACATGCTGATCTGATGGGCCCTGGTGAGCTTGGACTTGATGCGGGTGGTGTACGAGACCTTGAAGCCCGGGGCGCCGGCACGCTTCTCAAACCGAGAGGCCAGGTCGTCGTCGCCACCGCTGCGCTTGGTCAGGACATCGTGAGGCAGGTAGATGTGGCCGTCGCCGTTTCCAAAGTCGTACACGTCCATGTTGAGGGTGTTGTTGCCCGACGTCAAGCCCTGGATGCTAGCCACCTCGACGGGCCTGCGCTCTCCGGACTCGTACCGCGCGAGAATGTGCGGCGTCGCGTCCTCGATCGAGTCGAATGTCGCGCCGTCCTCGCCAAACTCCCGACGGAGAAAGTCCACCAGCGACTCGGCGGACTGGCCGTCCCGCGCGGAGATGGCCCCCGTGCGCTTGAGGATGAGGAAGACGCTGGCAATGGCCCCGGCAATGGCGGCGGCCAGCTCGTCGCAGTTGTGGCCGTGGCTACGCCTGCACACGTACAGCGCCGTGAGGCCTCCCGTGCTGGCGTACACAACCACCTCGCTGCTCGTGCCGATGCGGTCCAGCACCGAGTCAAGCGTCTGGCACGAATCGCGCCTCAGCAGCGGCGACGAAGGCGTGACGTCTGTCGTGAGGAGCTCCAAGTCTGTGGTCTCTCGGACGTCGATGGGAGTGGCTAGGACGCTGGCCAGCAGAGGCAGCATGCCACAGAAGAATGTACCGAATTGCATCTTGGTAAGAAAACCGCTGGACTAAACGAATTGTTGAATGTGGTTGCTCTGGATTTCATCTTGAATGCCGGGATTTTATACCGTGTGTCGTCTGTCTGTCGCTGATTCTTGCCAGTCTTGGATTCCGTCTTTTGTCGACTACGGTGGCGGAGATTTTTGCTCTTCGCGGACGATCCTTGACCACGAAAGCTATGCTCGTCAGCTTATATGCATGTTTTAATGTGCCTAGATCCATTTGGGTCGGTGTAGTGGCATTCCGGAGCCACAGCTAGCTGCACGTCAGCGGTAAACAGATGCCGATTTGCGAATCGCAGCCAGACATTGAGCTGCCAAGTGGTGAGCCGATGGGGTTGGTAATACCATGGATCAAGTCGAATGTAACCCGACCCGCGGGGCATTGGGCACGAGGGGAAAAGTATTACGATTATGATGCGTTTATTCGGTCATGACAACTTGCTCCGTATTGCACATGTATGACTTGAGAGGCTCGGAAGTCAGCCGACAATTTGTGGTTCTCTTGGGTCGACAGGTTGGTTTTGCATGAACAAAAGTGAGAACATTTGCAGCGTGCAACAGAAGGTTGTTTCTCTTTTATTATTAGCCTTGGTCTTCGGTGTAACCTCGACCGAGTGACAAGTTGGAAATGAAACATGATATCATTACAGTTCAGCATAGGTTGCCACAAAGCTGTATATCGAGGTGATAAAATTCATCTGCTAGCTGCCCCTTTACAACTCGCAACGGCTTACAAAAGCCTCTTCTCGTGTGATAACATGAACATCTGTCAATTCCATTAACATGGTTTTTTAATTTCCCCGTTTGAAAGCACAGGAGTCCCCTTACCCAAGGATCGCTGTGAAGGGCGTTCCCAGTCTAGGCCCTTCTCTCCTCTCGCCCATGCATCCTAACGCCTTTGGTAATTCTAATCTACAACAAGTGCAAGTGGATTGAAGTTAGAGTCCAGCACGTTCCATGTGGTTTTCGGCGGCTTAGGCCTCGCCGGCCAATTGATAATCTCGGGCGACTTGTTCCAAATCCCGTCATGCTGCCTGCGCGCCTTCCAATCCTGCAACAACAACTGATGGTCTGCAAATGCATGGCCCCATTGAACATCTACATGTTTCACCCAATCTCGAGGCAGAGTGTCCTCATGTTGGTCCTCGTGTGGTACTGTCGAAGACTGTCGTCGCGAGTAATCATCTCGTACGTGGTGAACTCGACCCCCTTGACATCGTTTCTTTTTTTCAGCCTACGCATCGTCTTCTAGTCGTGATGAGCAGTTGATGCGGGCTGCAAAATTGAAATCAGATAACATCATGCAGTCGGTTGAGTCGTTGATGACGAGGTTTCTGGGGGCAATATCCTGGTGGGAGATGCCGAAGCAAAGGTTTCAATCGTCCGCGAGATTTGTGAGCTACTGAAGCCACTTTAGTCTGAATACTCGCGACCTGTTCTTCTCTAAAGAACCTCCAGATATTTAATTATTCGTAAATCCAACGACGCGACTGTCGAGCTCGTCGGTGACGACGCGATCAATTGGCACGATATTGGGATGACGAAGGAGGCGTATCCAAATGTTCATTTCGTTCCATGACCTGGCTGCGTATTGTATGTGGAAGTAATATTTGAACACAGCCTGTGATATGGTTAGCATTTTGCAAATCATCTTTGGCTGGGAAGACGGGTCTTTTTCATTTGGCAGGAAGGAGAATGGTATTGTACAAGATCCGCATCCGGACCTAATCTGTCAATCTCTTCCAAGGCATCCCTGCTGACGGTTTGTATCCCCTGTGGCAAGTCTACTTCTGAGAGGAACGGGTAGTGCACAAAGTATGTATGGTCATGCTTGGCATCTGTGTATGTTGATACGATCTCCCCATCGTCGGAGATGTGGACTCCATGGAGTTGGAAGGGATGTTGTCAATATGCCGACGAAGAAACTCAACAGCAAGAATTTAATCATCCTGTTCGCCATCCCTTGTCACGTAAATGACCCGTCTTTGGTCCCAATCAGTAACATACCAGGTGCTTGATTTGCCGAGGATGACATCCCCGTTCAAGGAGAAAACTCGCTCCAACCGACGTTTCCTATGTGTTAGCTGTACAATCACGCCGCTCCTGATTGATTTGTCAATGTCTAGAATGTTGTGTCTGGACTATTTTGAGAGTCCAACTTCAATTCGGTATAGGTGGCAAAAATTTGGATGAGGCTCAAGTCTTTGGCCTGGGCAGAGAACGCACAACACTTGGGCGTTGCTCGCCGACTTGGCTTGAACCAAGTATTGTACCTACCCTATATGGTTCTGATTCCTTTTACTGAGAAAACTCCGACTGCATCTTCCTAATAGGTCACAGTAGGAGGCAAAAAGTATTCACCGGATCAGGTTCCTCGCTGTCATGCTATACAGTATAATGTACTGTAGGATATTAGTAGACTGCTATATTGGCGAACATATTCTGCCATGGACTTTATATGCTCCGCTATTCCTGTATTATAGCTCTACCAAGACTCCAGTCTATATCAAAGACCTCATCTACCAAGGGCAATGGTCATCCTCTGCACACTTCATGACCAGCGGTTTGCCACGTGCATATATAATCCACCGGGATGAAGCCCAAGCACACCGCCGCAGCCGCCAACTCACATTATGATCGGCTCCTAAATGCTCTCCGAAATGACTCCCAGCGCTATGAGGCTACCTTCATTCTTCTGAATGTCAATATTGTTCACTACCACGCAGATCACGCACGTACCTGACTCCAGTAGAATCCAGTAATGGTAGACCCAGCAGCAATTGTCATGGGCTTTCTCACAAACTCAAGATCAACAACCGTTTTCTTCTCTCTAAAATGGCAACATCTGCCCCAATTCGTCCAAATCTGAGTTGTTGGCACAAGCATGGACAATATCATATTCGGAATGTGAGCCACGTGCCTTGAATGATTCCAATTCCCCATCTTTATAGATCCACATCACGTTGTCGCTGGTGTAATACCTGACATATATCTCAATAGCAGTGATGAACTCACCGCCCGGACCGTCAATATCAAAGTGAATAACCTTAGCGTACTCGGATGGTTTGTATCGTCCCAGCCTGCGACTTGCAGCCGGGACGTTCTCGGCGTCGAAATGAAACTCGATGCCGCGCAGTGTACCCAGGCTGGTAACAGACATGCCGGTCAAGGAACGGAGATGTGACCCCCTAGGCCCTCCAAACATGGTCCAACAAAGTGGTTGGTACCTGGCTGTCGATGTAGGTCTTGCTGTGAAATAATCGTCATTCAGATGTAAATCATTCCCTGGGATTCGGGGGTACCAAAACGCGGAATCTCGGAGAGAATGGCGTTTTGTAGTATCGTTTTTCGGAATGCACTCTGCGACAGCCAAGCTCACCATCTTGAGTCCCTTGAGGCTCTGTCAGCGGTGCTGAGATTGATGAATGGAGGGCTAACTTACGTCGAACCCGGCTTTGATGGCTGCGATGGGCCCCGAAACCGCAAGGCGCTTCGTTTTGGGAGCCTCATGCGTACATCCAACCCATGGCGATGTTGGCCTGCCCTCAAGCACGCATTGGATACCTTGTATGCCTCTTGACCCTACGGCCAGGTTGAACCCTTGGAGAAATGGAACCTCTAGTACTAACTCATTACCCTCTGTTCTGTATCCCAGCTGAATCTCTTGACCACTTTTCGGGATCAGCCTCATCCCCGCAATATACTCAAGGTCTCCTAGCTGGATAACAGAGAATGCAATTTGATCGAGATGGCTGGGAAGTGGTGTCTGCCGCTCGTGGAATAGACGACACCCTTCCCCAAATCTGTAGCCTGACTCGGTGCTCGTCTGCCTATCTAAATCGCCAGTTGCCTCTGACCAGCGTAACCACCCTGGACTGACTAGATTCGATCGGGACAAAGGCAGCACGGGAAGATCGTTCCCTCGCAAACATACCGTTCGCCAGACCTGCTGGATCAACTTCCAGACCCTTTCTCTGTTTTGCATGCCCTCATCGCGATGGGCCTTGTTGGTGCGATGATATAACCATCTCCAGTCAGATGTCTTGTCCCACTCGCGAGACTCAAATAGCCAACAACGGTCAGCACCAGCCCTAAATCTGGAAGCCCAGAATTGATTGCTGTAGAAGATGGGTATAAACGACCGCACAGCTCGACGGGCACTGAAAGCATCTACTGTTGGCAGATGTGATGCAATCTCGAAGCAAATCTCCCGAGGAAGTGCGGTAAAACAGTTTGGCACTATGCTTTTTGGTTGAGCAGCGCTTGGAAATTGCGGCGTCTTTGGAGCCTCTAATGGAAGCAGTCGGATCTCCGGGACACGACAAGGATCATGTCTGGCAACCTCGAACAGCGCCAGGTCTTCGTCCCGATCGACGAATCGGTGTTCCCAGGGGTAGCAGTCCTGATCATTCACCGTGATCAAACCCCCGAAACTATGACCCCAACTAAGGCCGGCCTCTGTAAATGGACACGGTAGCGACTGGCAAATTTGGAACAGGGTTCTACAAGGGATTGGCTCGGGGGAATAGACCGTGCCTAGAAGGGACCAGCAAGCCTCATGAAAGGGAAAGCCGTGTAGACCGTTGAGTGAGTCCTGACGAAACACTCCGACACGGCCAGTATCCGGAAAGTCGTATCCCTCGTCATCCCATCGCGCGTTGAAGTCTCGAGGGGGAATGAACCAGCCATCATCGGGATCATTATAGATTCCGACTCCTGTTACTGCAACCCCGGATGGGCTGATGTAGACTATTGATATTGACGTCAGCTTAACTCTTGCGAGGAACGGCGGGCAATTTCAGACTTACGAAGGCGAAACTGGTTTTCCCAAGACGCCGCACTGGGGTCTTCATAGTTGAGGATAATGTATCCGCAAAGAACACAGGAGAAGATACTAGGGCTCATGGCTTTTTGGCGTCCGAGGTAAATTGTGAGACGAGGATAGCCAGAAATATTTGCCCTATTAGCACTTAAAGTGCAAATTCCACCCAAATTTTCGGGACGTTGCTGGTTTGCGGAGTTGCCGCGGTGCTGGTCACATCCACAGGCTCTTGACGAAAAATTATTCTGGGAATCAAAAGTTGAATGGGTAAATGTGTTGAACGGTACAGCTCCTTGTACAAAAGTGAAAATTTGTGGTTGGCAAGGCAGTCTCGGCTGGTATTCACGCAGCGTGTGATAATTTGGAAGAAGCTGTATTCGTTCGCCTGTGTCAGGTGAGAAAGTCGACTAGGTCACGTGGATGGTATAAATAGTTGTAGAAGGTACATGAGCAGTCTCGAAGCACCGGCATAAAGTTAGTAGGTTTAAGTTTATTTAACCAAGAGTCCAAGACGGTAGCTCAGGCTATCACGAGACAGCTAAAACTAGCGGGCCGCGACAAAGCACTTATTATATTAGTATATTTACGTGGTCCGTGTTATAATGCGTAAGTAGTTTATTGTTTTGGGTCTTTTATTGTCCTTGGCTTAATTTAGCTTGCTATTATATTTGTAAGTCTTATAAGGGAAATGTGTTACAAGTAACGGGGTATAATTCATCTATTACTAAAGGTCTAAGAAAAAGAAAGCTATTAGCTAGTAACTCAAGACCTTTGAGACCCTCAAGCTACGAGATTAGTATTGAACCGAGCCCTTTCGCTCTATTGCAGCAAGGCCGCCCAAGGTATGTCCTATTGCCCGAGCCAATCCTACTGAGAAACCCAGGGTGTACGCTGGATGTTAGCCTATTTCAAGACACAACCTCCCGGGGCAGGGAGATCAAGCCTGGCATGTCTACATATGTCAATACTATTGTCTGGTATTTTCGTCGCGGAAAGGGGCGCTGAGAGTCGGGTCTCGGGCCGTTTCTGTCGGCCACTGCGACACGATCCTCGTCGCCCGAATCAGTGTCAATTGCTGCCGACCCGTCGCCTAGTCTGTCTGCATGTGACCGTGGAAACCGTACTCTCGATTTTGTGCTTATATTAGAGTTACTTCCCACTCTTGCAGAATATGATGCCAAGTGGGGTTTGAAGAGGAGAAACCACCACCGGTACAAGGTTTATAGTTTTGGCTCTGCCCTTGCATCTGTTTATTACCCAAGACTAAATTATTCCTATAGTATTCTAATATTCCAAGTATATCCATGGTTCGGGGAGCAGCGTGTACGCTTCGACAAGTCTCTCAAAATGGCCTTCTTTCTCTCGCCTATGCTATTGTCTATTGAGTATTAGCCAGCAGAAATACCAGCAGGACACATGCCACGGAAAGTCCCCTTCCACATGGCAACACTGAACATGTGGCCCTTTGATTCACAATATCCGTGCAAACGGCTGCAAGACATGGCAGATCAGACCTACGACTACGTCATCGTTGGCGGCGGCACAGCGGGTTGTGCTCTCGCTTCAAGGCTCAGTGAGAGCCCCGAGACTACCGTATTAATGCTCGACAAAGGTCCCATTAAAGACAGTTATCAGTCACGTATACCGTTGGCGTCCGTGGCAAACGGAATATACCCAAGCGCCAAAACTCGTCCCTGGGGAACAGGCCAGTTCCAATTCTCTCAGCAGAGGCAGTAGGCGGAAATTCGAGGATAAACGCCATGATTTATACGCGTGGAACTCCGGCATACTATAACCGATGGGCTCGTACCCATCCCGACTGGAGCTGGGTAAACGTGGAACCATGTTTTCGCAAAGTGGAAAACAGCATCAACCTCTGCCAGAATCGCGACAGCAACTGCAGTCCAGCACCTTGCAAAGGACTAAACACGCCTTTCTCTATGCTGTGGCAGGCAAAGGCTGGCTCAGGTCGGCGGTGGATCGTGCAATCTTGTTGTGCACTTCGCACTTTGACGAGGAAAAGGGCGCCGTGCTTGCCACGGACGCTGCGGATGATGGAGAAACCCTGCCAGATGTTGAGATCATGGTGGTCCCAGTCGGATCCTTGCCGGAGCTGTATCCCGGCAAATCCATGTTTACGCTTCAGACGTGCTTGATTCAGCCCGAGTCGACAGGCACCATTGAGATTACAAGCCCCGATCCCGGGGTAGACGCCAGGATCCAGCTCAATATTTTGTCAGATCCGAGCGATTGGCAAGTGGCACGGAAAGCCTGCCGCTTTGCACTCGCCTTGGCTGAGCACTTTATTTACCAGTCCGGATATCCCTCCGAGGCTCGAGTGTTTGCGGGCCCGGGCAGTGTTGGCGCCCGGGAGTGGAAAGAAGGGGACTGGCGTGTCGTCTCGGATCAAGAGATTGACACATACATTGGAATGTACGTTGGCTGTGGCTTCCATCTCACTAGCTCGTGTCCCATGGGGAGGGAAGAGGACGAGGGGGTTGTTGACAGCCAACTGCGTGTCCATGGCTTCAAGAACCTGAGAATCGCGGATGCGAGTGTCCTACCTTGTGTTCCCCCGGGACACCTCATGGCGCCTACGTACATGATATCTGAGAGATGTGCTGATTTTATTAAGCATGGACGGAACTGAGACGGTTTGTACTCCGTACTTCGTACTTGACTTTTGCCGACTAGGACAGAGTACTCCGCAGTGTACGGAGTAGTCTTACTATATTGGTTGTACTGTTAAAATTGCTACACACTATGACAATGGTTGGCCTCAGAAGCGAGTAGACAAAAATTCCGAGACACTATTATGCTTGCTTACGAGGTGTGCATGTCTCGTCAATGTTTTTGCAGCCCCCATGACTGGTTAGCTGTGACCGGTATCTGTTGGGTACGGAGTAGTACTACCAGACTCCGTACGAGATGTGGTTTTGTGACAGCTGATAGTGACTGCATATGATAATACAACGCTGACATGTCGGCAAGTCATTGAATTAAACTCCTCGGCCAACAATGGGCGGGCGTCCGTGACACCAGCACTACTCCGTACTGGGTGAGACATGCAGGTGGCCGGTCAACCAGCCTTGCTCAAATCTCCGAGTCGAGTGAGCGTATGTACAGCTGTCCCAGTCCATGACTAGTGAGGAGCACAAAAAATGACTTCAATTTCTGACTAGATGGGGCATAACTAAGCGAACTTTCCTCGATGAAATGCGGCTCTTAACCGTCCGTAGTAGAACAGATGTCAACATTTCCAGGCGAATCTAAAATCCACCATCTGATCTTTTCCTGAGTACAATAGTCTTTTCCACGTCTGGCATAATCTTTTCTCGCAGTATTAGCGTTCAAATCAGGCGCTGCGTAGCAAGGCACGTCGGGTGGCATGAACAAGATGGAACTTACAATGTCGCCATAGACAATATTCTCACAACGTTTTGTAACACCGTCAGGCAGTCCCAACTCATACTGCATCAATGTCTTTGCAGTAACCATTTTGATCATGCTTGAGGCGAAGAAACGACCAGGGCAGGCATGCTTGCCGTATCCCCACCACAGGCTTAGGGGTCCTGTGCTAACAAATTGGCTCTCAGACGCGCCGAGCATGAAAATAGACTTTTTATTTTCACTCATTGTATCCTTTGTTTTGCGCGTCTTGTAAAACCGAAGAGCATCAAAGACTTCGGGCTTGTCGTATATGGCAGGGTCGTCGCAAATGGCCTTGTTTGCACACTCGATAATAACGCCAGCCGGGACGACTTGGCCGTTGGACAGAGCAAAAGGTTTGAGAACTTTGCGTTGAACCGAGGCTATAATCATGTCATTGGACGTATTCGTAGGCGCGCGACTCATCCACTTGGACTTGTTAATCAGAACGCGGGACAAACTCACCCGCCATCAAGGGGCAATATCGCACAGTCTCCTCGGCAAAACTATCCATCTTCTTCAATTCTTGCAGTGACTGGAGAGTAAACTTGCCCTCGTGCTTCCCAAGTACCTCTCGTACCTCTTCCAGGAGCATGGCTGCAACGTGAGGCTCTGCCGCAAGAGTATAAAACCTGACATGCATGTCAGCACATGTTGGTAGTAACAAGGGGGCCAAGAAACACCAACATATTGGTCATTGTCTGTGAAGATGTATGAACCGCGGCGAATGACGTGACCATTTGTTTGTGTATAATGCTCATATCGTCCTCGTCGCCGGCTCCGGCTGTGTTGTCGATGAGCCATTCCAGCAAGTCGTCAGGCTTCATCGACGATCCCACTGTCGCACCAAGCTCTCTCCGGGAAAGGACCACTGGATACATTAGCTTCTTTTCACTTTGAATGCGCCGATGTAGCGCCCTGACCAATGGCATGATTGGACTGAGGATAGGCCGTAACCACACCGGCAGGAAGGCCACACTAGCAACCGCCATCATGAAATCCGTGGTGAAGTTGATGGCATTATCGATGTATTCCTCTTTAAGCCAGAGCTTAGGGCCAACAAAGGCCCGACCAGACGCCATGGCCGTTATTCGAAGAAGCAATTTGTTTATCTTGACTGGCGCCGGTCCTGATACGCCAGCAAGTTCCATGCTCATGGCTTGGTCAAGCGTTTCCGACACCAGTGGCACCAAGCGACCTGATGAGCTGTCAAAAGAGCGCACTCGAGCTTTTTTTGTTGCAGATGGCATGGTTGTAGGACTGGGAGTGTGTCACTGTTACACCAGATAGGACTCAGTGCGACCAGACATTAGTAATTATGTGCAGACACCACCAGGAGACACTTGAGGCTACAATATGTAAAGTTCCAAGACCTGCTCTCATGTGCAGGCTCTGTGTAAGTGATTGCATGTGGCGTCATACTGTGTTGTTAGGGACCTGTAGCACAGTGCGGGTGACAGTAGTAAATTATTTAAATTTTAAATTTAAATTATTTGCTTTTATTATACATTCATGTTTAGTAACTACCATTATATATAATCAACCTTTTCACGTTTTTACGCCTGTCAAAGTATATTAACTTTTTACCCTCCTATTTCGTACTAGATAGACTCGTCGATTTCTCATTCTTAATTTGCACCTCTGCGTTATACATAGTTCTTGGCTTCCGGTCCGTAAATAACAGCGTGGCCCTCCACCGCCTGGAATTCATTTTCCCACCCTCTAGGCAAAGCACTGGCCATCGAGTCCATGTCCACTGCGCGGGCAGAGCAATGGTGCTTACACGCAGGACAGCAAACCATGCCATGTCCATGAGATGCGCAAAGCTCGATATCTGACTCTGCCCGGCCATAGTTGGTCGCCGACGATGGAGCGTCCGACTGACCTCCCGTACGAAGCCTGCCAATAAGAGAGCTGAAGGACGAAGAAATTGCCTCAAACGACTTGAGTTTTGTGGCAGCCTTCATCTTGGGCAAGCTGCCAAGAATGATGACGAGTGACCCCTCGACCGAGGCCAAGAGGCTAGTGATGCCGAACATGACGAAGATGCGATCCGAGTCCAGAGAACGATCGGCGCTAACAGTAAACGTGTCTCTTACAATAACGACGCGGCCAATAGCAGCCATCATGGTAATAAAGGATCCCGTCATGATAAAAATCAGGCCAACTTTCTTCCGGGTAGCCAGCTGGAGACTCCAGATGAGGATGACGGGGAAGAAGGCGTACATGAAGTCTGACAAGGCAAACAGGACTGAGAACAGAGAGTTAGCTAGGGCGTAGCAAGTCGCCGAGAGGTTCACCCACCACACTGAGTGAATATGAGAATATAGTGTGCAAAAGGTTGCAGGCGCCGCTCGGGTTTGATCCGAACATCCCAGTTTGCCTGGAATGGTTTTGTCTGGAAGAAGACGTAGATGAAGTTGACGAGTCCAAACGTCGTGAGGGTAGCGGTCACGGCGGCGATGGCTCTCCTGAACCATTTGTGGACGCCGAATATCTGAACGAGCATGATGGCAATGGACACTCTGGAGATGGTGTTGGCGAGAATATTGACCGGCACGGTGCCCCATTGCCACTTGGACATTGCGATGATTTCCTCCAAGGTCATTGTATCCACGGGGTAGCCAAGGCCGGTGACGCAGGCCAGAGTCAGAAAGGTCTGGAACAAGGTGTGGCAGGCCAAGGCGAGGAGCATGACCCAGTCATCCAGGGCAACCCGGTGTCTGCACTTGAGCCCTACGTAGAGGCGCAAGTAGACGGATAGAATGGCAAATGTCCAAAACGTCCACGTTAGAGCCATGACGATTCGAGCCCGGCTTGATGGCCCACGGCCTAGCGATTCGGTTCGAAACATGGGTGCGGCATCATCCATTGGAAGTGGTCTGGCTGGGCTTGCTCGCGGCCAAGATGAAGAATAGTTGCCGTAGCTCGAGCGGCATTTAAACAAGAAACCAGTCACACCAGGTTAGGCAAAACAGAACTGGGAGCGAGGGAACGAAAGGAAGGATCACGCCAAGGTCACCCGGCCACTTCTGAGGCCGTCTGCTCCTCGGGCTTGGCAGGCTACTCGGTGCGGCGCTGTCAGTTGGTTCCAAGCCTTCTTTATCCCCGACCTGTCTGGTCTTTTCTCACCCCGAAGGGGAATATTGACGGGTTGTAGGGCGGCAGCATCTTGGGTGGGTGGAAACTGAATAGGGGGGGTGGAAGGGTTCTCAGATTCCTCCCGGTTTCACATGGGCTGCTGCACCGTTGGGGGCCTGCTGGATGTAGTCATTTTTAAACAATGGCTGACAAACAGACCCGGCTGCATATCGACGCAAAATCGATCAATCGTGCTTGGTCGACGTGCAGAAAAGCAAGTAAGCGCGCCATTTCGGTACGACACTGCCGAGTTAGCTTGGATGCTACCGTCTTGCATGTACTCTGTCCTCGGTCTGGTATTATACGAAAATAAAAATGAGAGAGACCTGCATGTCAGACGACTGAATGCACTACCTTGCAAATTTTTACAATTTAATGTTTGCGTTGCATTTTCGTGGCCGGCATTCACCATCTGCGGACAGGGCACATGACGCCACGTTCCATATTTGGAACAGAACATTGACATATCGATTTGAGACAAGGACAAAAAGTATTTACAGATCGGCCAATAATGAAGCGCATGTAATGACGAATACCAGAAGCGTAGCGACCGAGTGAGGCCAGCATTCTGGCCTGCCCACCTACTGTCCCAAGTCTCTGTCCAGTACCATTCTCGGCGTCAGAGCAATCGGTGTGCCTTCATATGGATAGATAAAAGTCCTCCAAGAAAAATATCTCTTAGCCTTGGGGTCCACAAGTTGAAAGTCGTATTTGGTGATGAACAGCCCGATCATGGTTTTAATCGCTGCAGCGGCATACCATCTTCCCGTGCTAGGCACGCGGTTAGCATACCGCAGAGAGGGAAGAAAACTACGAGTAAGAAATGACAAGTGGCAAGGAAGTGAGGGAATCACGGGATAGGATAGTACATACCACGAAGCCTTTCCGGTTCCCCATTGCTGCCAGTCTGACAAATTTGTGTACTCGGATGCCTTGCCCGCCTCGGGGATTGTAAACGACTCAGTGGATTTAGCCAAGGGCAGAACCGTGCCGAAGCTACTGATGCTTTTCTGAGCCGCGTCCAGAACTTCGGGCTTGACGAACCTGAAGCCGTAGAACTCGTCGGCCTTGGCCCACGTTTCCGGGTTTCGGTTCATTGCTCTCGGCGCGGAGCAGACCCATTGCCCCGGCTGGACCGACGTCCCGTCCGAGAAATGGAACGGCTTCAGGACTTTTCGGCGAGTGCTGACTAGTTTTTCCGCAACCTGGTTAGCTTGGACTGACTGCATGTACACAAAACGCGGCTGTAGGGATTGTATTGACCAGACTCAATGGGGTTGAGGCGCGCCGACTCCTTGAGAAAACTATCCATAAGAGGCAAGATCTGTCCGCCAGCCTTGTCAAATGCCTCCCACCCCGTTTGTTCAATTTCTTCTCGAAGAATGTCCACGTATTCAGGCCTGTCGCAGAGATCGTAGATGGCAGCGCAAGCCGTGGTTGAGGCAATGTGAACAAATCCAAACCACACCGCGATGAGCTCATGCACCACCCGCATCACACCCCAGGGCTTGTGTCGGGGGGGCATGGTCCATGATCCATTGGATGCAGTCATTCTTTTCGGGAATGTCACGTCTCAGCTTGCGGAGCTCTGCATCTCGAAATCTCTCCGAGACGACGGCGACCAGGGCGTTGGTCATGACGCTGCCGGAGTCAAGCCGGCTCGACAAGAATTTGCCGAGAGGACTATGTTTGGTTGGTGCTTGTTAGTTGCAGAGGCCGTGTCAGGAGTTGAGCTAGGCTGACAAGTGTACTACTTACTCGGATACTATGCCCGGGACCATGCGCAGGATCTCGGCAATAATCAGCGTGTGCTCGATCATCTTGATGCCGGCTGCTAGGAAGGTTGCATCTCGGGCAGATGGCCAGCCAGGCGACCTCGCAAAGCCATCTGCAGCGGCGCGCCATCAGAACCACGCTTGTTCGTCCAGTCAAAGTTTGTCATGGTGTGCTTTGGCTGGAGCACGTCTTTGGCGGCTCCCAACAGCGAGAGAGTCCCTTCCGGAGCGGCATTGATCTCCTTGATGTGCTTCCAGTCCGAGACCAGGACAATGGTATTATTTGGGGTATCTACAGAGAACGGCGCGCCATTCGACTTGCGGCAGAGTTGGCTGAGTATTTCGTATAGACGGTTATTTTCTGCTCGCCCTCGCCATCATGTACCTTTTCATACGTCGTTTGGATAATGGACGGCCCCGGGATGAGAAAGGACCATGCGACGAGACGCGATTTAAGAATATAAAAAGGTTCAATGAGAATGAAGCGGGAGCTTCTTGCCTTGAGCTCATTGCGTTTGTGACTGAACAAGCCGTTGAGCAAGGCAGACAGCGTTAGAGCTAGCATGAGGCAAAGGCCGTAAAGGAGAAGGCCTCGAGAGAGGTGATTCAGGACCCAAAAAGACACCATGATGAGTTGAAAGGTAAGCTACGACTGAGATACGGTAGAGATGCAGAATTCAAAGTGATGCCGGGCTTGGTTTATATTTTGTTCCGAGTCCCAGCTTGACACAGAAGCCGGTAACTCCAACTGTTGGGTAAATATACATTTACTAGTTTCCGAAATACATGGCAAGGCGGATTGAGTGTTAGCTACTCGATGAATCCATTCTGTGTATTTGTCGTGTCAATGTTTGGCAAGGCCTGGGGCGGAATCCCAACATCGTATTCACTCCATGTCGGCACAGAAATGGACCACGGCCCCAACTTGAATATAGACTTGATTCAGAATATCACTAGTGATTGGGCCATCCCCGCCTCCCTCCCTTTTGCCCATCCATCGACCGCACCGGCATATTCCAAATGCTTCATGCTCCCGATCTCCATGCGCTCGGAGCTGAACTCCCATGACCAACCCGCCTCTCCTGCCGGGCGGTATATTTGCCAACAAGGCTACAGCATCCTAAGAAATCTTGTTCTTGGCCCCAGGGCCCTGGGTGAGGCCGAAGAATCCTGCCGCCCCAAACGCAAAGGAGCCAAAAAGACGAATCCAGGCCCAAGTCTTGTCCCCGTTGTGCCACACCACCATGCAATCGTTGATGCCGAGGAAGGCGGTTCCCACGAGAAGGACGTCGCACACGGCGTACTGGCGGCGCCAGTAGAAGACATGCATGAGGAGGCCCAGCAGGATGATGCGTCCCTGGCCAGCCCGCCAGACGGGCCATGTCTCCGGGACGTCGGCGATGGCCGGCGGCAGTCCGTAGAGCTCGATGAGGCTGCAAGGGCCGCTCAGAGGATCCATCACAAGGCCCACGCAGTTGGCAAAGGCAAAGTAGAGAGCCGGGATGTGGCGGATGCTGACGTGTTGGAACATGGCGACGGTGGTGCTGTTGCTTGTCTGCCGGAGAGTCTATTCGCCTCGACGGCAAGAGCAAGAGGCTGACGATGTCGGGACTCGGGAGAGGTGACGAATTGGCTTTGAAAGCAGGAAATGTCAAGTCAAATCGACGTGAGAAGCTCGACGGCGTGTAAAAACAGGGCGAGGTGCAGAGGCAAGGGAGGGGGCTTCAAATGTTACTTCCTGAGCATCGATACATGATGCGAGCACTCGCCTCATCTGTTGACCGTGCTTGGCAGGATGGTGCTTTCCCGGGGCTTTTCCGCAACCGCGTGCCGTGTTGTGACACTTGACGTCAAGCTGGTGCAAAGGTGTTGGTTGTTGGCTTGTATGTTTTCCTTTGTCTGGCAAACCAACATGTCATTTTCGGGCAACATTGACATGAATGAACTCGCACGGAGTCTCTCACCACCCCATCATCGGCGGTGCCTTGGCCGAGGTGAACTGGCGATGGGTTTTCTGGCTGAATCTACCAGTGTCTGGGGCGTCTGCCTTGGTCATATTCTTTCTCTTGCAGGTCAAAACCCGGCGCCGTCAGACGTGGCGCGCCGCCCTCGCTCGCGTGGATTTCTTGGGCAATGCCATCTTCATGCCGTCCATGACCAGTCTATTCTTCGGCCTCATCATGGGCGGCACGCCTGGCTACGAATGGGGCTCATGGCGAGTCGTTATGCCCATCGTATTGGGCATCGTTGGCTGGGCCGTCTTCCACGTCCACCAGGCCTCTCGGTTTTGTGCTGAACCTACCATGCCTCCCCGGATCTTCAAAAAGTCTACGGGAGTCATGGCCTTCATCATCATTTTTCTCGCATCCATCATCGTACAAGCCGTCAGTACCTTTCTACCAATCTACTTTCAGGCTGTCAAAGACGCAACGCCACTCGAGTCGGGCATCTGCTTCCTGGCCTTTGCCGTCGCCCTCGTGGTATTTGGCAGTGTAGCAGCAGGTACCTTGTCTAAAACAGGGAAATATAAACCCTTGCACTGGGCCGGCTTCTCCACCATGCCATCGGTCTTGGACTGTTTTACACTCTGGACAGGGACTCTGGCCGCGGTAAATGGATCGGTTACCAGATTATTGCTGCTTGCGGAGCGGGCTTCATCTTCACGGCCTCGCTGCCCTCGGCGCTCGCATCACTGGCAGAAAAGGATGTAGCGACGGCTACCAGTGCCTTTGCCTTTGTGAGAGCCCTTGGGCTGGTTTGGGGCGTTACCATGTCCGCCATTGTCTTCAATGGCCAGGTAAACCATAACCTGCACTACGTGGATGACGCCAACATGCGACAATTGCTGACAGACGGCCGTGCCTACGCATTCACGTCTGGTTCTGAGAATGGCGACCTATCGATCGCAAAGTTGCCAGAGCCCACCAGGTGACAGGTAATTCACGTATATGAGGACTCATTAAGAGTCATTTGGCTCATGTTGGTTGGCATCGTGGGATTGGGCCTCGTCGCCGCCTCCGTTTTGAGACATGTGGACCTACGGACAAATCACCAGACGGAATTTGGTCTTGCTGAGGCTCCTGGTGAAGGTTCGTCCGTTTCTAGAACAGAAAATGGTCTTGTCCGGGGTGAAGGCGCAACTGTACATGATGAGAAGACCGCAGCGAAGTAGCGCAATATGTTATACGGCAGTGACAGCAAAGAAGGAATTGAAGCGGCCATGATGGCCGATTTAATGGTGGGCGAATGATGGGAAGTCTAAGGCCATATACAAGTTCACAAAGTGTATTTATATAATTGAAGGCACGGAGCGTTACTCCGTAGGTTGACTCTTGTCTGGTGGTTCTTCCGTGTCAAATCCAGATAACCAGCACGTCATGTACTACTGTAGCACCAGACGCTTCAAATCTCTACATGTCAACTGTACTGCGTCAACTATCAGGCAAACTCCAAAAAGACCAACCAATGCCGCTGGCAATATTTTTTTTATTTTTAATCTCTCATCTAAAAATATAGTTGCAGCACTATTTGCGTCTTCTTAATAGAGATGCTTCACTAGCTAGCTTCGCATAGAAAGCCTCCGTTACCATCTCATTGAGATAGTCCAGACGATGCCCACAAGGATACCTAAGTACATCGTCCACAGAAGGGTTCGAACTGCAGCAGTCACCCCAGCAATCGCTAATGTGATTAACGACTGGAACGTGAGGGTTTTTGCGATTGCTATTATCGATGATGTGGACGATGGTTGGTATTGCCACCTCGTGGAAAACATTGAACTGGGGGTTTGAGAAGACGTCCGAGAGGCGAATGTAATCTTGAAAGAAACGTCTCGGTATGTAATATATATCGCTCCATCCTAAGCACCACTCACGATCGTTTACTGTGTAGTTTCTGGTCAAGGGGCTTGACCTGGCTGCCGAGGCTGCGTTCATTGCGGTTTGGTGAACATCTCTATCCCACCCCCACCAGCCCTGCTTCGCGGTGTCACTCATGCATATCGTAAACGGTTCTTTGGTCTTGTCTGTTAAAAAGGGAAAGTACATGTTTTCCAAGTTCATATCACTCCACGCAAGGGGGTCGATCCAAGAATCGAAATGAAAATAGAAAAGACCCGTTATCTCAGGCTGTGTATCTAAAATGACTTGCATTGTAAACGCCACTTGGCGGTAGATGAGGGGAGTGATATTGGCCGCGTCTTCCGTTAGGCTTGTTTTATTTAATCCCAGCCCTGGAGTCGTCTCGTTCGGCATGGAGATGTGCATAGTATGGAAGAAAGGCTTGTATTTCATAACGTGCGGGATGCGTTCCGGGCGCGCTCCGTTCCAGCGAACGAACGCGAGTGTCTTTTCGAACGGTGAGGTGACGGCCGCAGACGCACCGCCGACCGCATCAGAAGCCGAGAAACTGGACATGGACATGGCAGCTATCATGGCCAAAGTGATGAGTTGAGCTATTCCATACAGGACTAGATAGGATCTCCGCAGTTTCAGCAGTGAGGAGGTCCAAGGGCGGTGTTGGGAGTTGCTTGCATGCGAGCCGTTCTTGTTGGGCTTTGGTGTTGGATTCATCGCGTACAGCCATGAAGCGCCAAACACGACTATCGATCCAGGGACGATCAAGAAGTTGAAAGTCGTTCCAAAAAACATTGGCGAGAGAAAGATGAGTATGGCCGTGGCAATGGCCGTTGCGAGACATTTAACAATTGCGTTGGCATCTGCTTCGTCGTTAGGATTCAGCGGCGCAAGCGATGCCAGGAGCAGAATACTTGCATTTATACACTGCGTTTATAGCGAGGCCGATCAGCACATTATTTATAATGATCAAGATGGCATGTAGGCTGCCGTACCCCTCAAAAAAGCCCGGTTCATCTGGCTTGGTAGCTCTCAAGAGCACGTGGCACAGCAAGTTACTCCATGCACCAGAGCCGTACAGGATGATATTGCTTGCATGTAAGCTGGCATTGCTCGCTTGCAGGAGGCCTTGATTGACAACGCCAGATACTGCACTCAGAAACACTTGAAAAATCAGGAGGAGGTATACTCCGACCGAGTACACACCACCGGCCGTCGGATCATATTGTGTAACGAGTAAGCCGCAAACCTGCTGCCAATTAGACAATATTCTAGCGTGAAGAAGACATGATGGTCCACACCTGCAGGACGATAGCAAGCCACTGGGTGCCAGTGATTTTTGTGTTGAGCGTGAACATTAGGACTAAAGCCGTGATGCACGTTACACCACTCTTGGTCAATGAGATGGTCGCCGGGTCGGCAACTTGGTAACTGACGAAAACCTGCAACCATGTCAATAATCATGGGCAGCTTAAACAAGGACTTTGCGCGTAACCGACCAAGTTGTTAATAAGTACGTAGAAAAGCGACAAGAGGCCCAGGCCAAACGCGATATCAGTAGATACTTCCTTCCTTATGGCTGTCAAGAAAGAAGGATCTACCCAGAGCCCGTTTTGCGGAAGAGCCTCGTCCCCCATCTCGCGTTGCTTGTCGTTTTCCTCGAGTGGCCTTTCCATCTCATATCTCAGTGGAAAAGAGTCGTGAGATGTGGAAATTGGCAGATAGGCTCGCCCTGCGTTTTGTGCCACTTTTGCCGCCCACTCGCGATAAAAGAAGCCCATCGCCAAAAGCATCTTCAAGAATTCGGAGATGGTGACGGATGACGACGGTGAAAACGCATAATGATTGTCGGTTTGCGCGGCTTTCAGAACGATGCCTATTCCGACCTGGATCAAGACAAGGGCAGCGGCACTGTACACGGCATACCAAAGCCTTTGAGGCAAGACGGAAGCTATCCCTTGCGCAAGACTGGTTGCATTTTTTGATATAACCATGGCGTGGTCCTGTTGCCACAGTCAAGAGGCAACAATGCTTCCAAGCGATGACAAAGCGGAGAGCGAAACCAGTACCGAGTTTCCAACAACTATAAATATATAATTGCGGGTAAGGTTCTTTAAGAGGATGGCCCTGTAGGACTATAAACTCAAAATCGACTTGGGAAGATAGGCTTAGGTGTAGACGTTAACTGTCGCTGGGCATTTTGGAGGAGGAGCTCGGAAATTGCTGGTGGAAATATCTTGGAATTCATACCCTCATGTCTGGTCTGGTAGCTCCATATGAAAAAGGCACGGTTACAAGATGCATGCAGCGCTGTGACTCAGGTCTGGTATACATACAGTACAGTCTGGCCCCTGAATTATTCTTCGTGCGTGACCTGACAGGGTAGCTGGTAGCTGGGGGTGATATATTAATTATGGTACCTGGGCTTAGATATTTCAAGAAATCAGGCGTCAGGAATGGTTTCATCCATGTAAAGCTTTTGTTCGTTGCTTATTGGCCCCCCTGCCAGGTCACGCATATAATAATTGACCACATGTGCAGTTTGGTGGGGCTACTTGCTGGACGAGTCAGGTAACATTCAATGTTAATATATTTGAAGCCATTTTAAAGCGACTAAATCTAAAGGGGGCTCCCAATTATGCACAACTGATACTGAACATAAGTTAGAAATGCGATATTTTGTAACCAGGCGCTCCACTCCTGTATCGTCTTGAATGCTAGAAGAATGTCATCGGGCAAGCGGCAGTGTCCTTCAATGTTTACAATAAAAAGCCTTGACTCAGCTGCCACCATTCCTAGAAAATCAACATTGAAGGAACGCGCATGCCATGACCCCCGGTGCCGACAAGATTACACGTGGCTAGAGATGCATTGCTCTCGAGTCTCTGGCTTCGTCCGGCATTACTCAGTATAGTGGCTGAAGCAGGGTGCCATGGTTCTTGGTTTTGTTTTCATACTGCTTCCTCGACTTATAAGTATACAAAAAGGCCAGTTACTTGTTAACCATAACCAAGCGACCAGACGTCAGCTACACTAGCATAATTCATGATGCCTTCATCAACATATGACCAAGCGCCGCTTAATGTCATCATCCCTATTGGTGGCAATGGCACGCGTTTCTCCAAACAGGGTTATCGCTACCCGAAACCATTGATCAACATGGTCGGCAGGCCGATGCTGCTGTGGATCATCGACCGTCTAAGTCTACGGCCTTGCGATACGTTGTGGGTGGCCATCAATAAAGACATTGACGACAACTTTCAAGTTGGACAGTTGTTGGCCAAGTCGTATACCAAGATGGACATTCGAGTTGTTAGATTGCTGCATCAGACCAAAGGTGCGGCCGAGACTGTGAGTCCTGGAAAGAAAAAGAAACCTGCTCTGCTCATGCGGCACAACCTAATCGTACATGTTAGCTTTACGTTACGACGCAGGGCATGCAAGCCGAGCATTTGCAACGCAGAACTATTTCGCTAGACTGCGATACCATCTATTGGACCGATGTTCTCCAACTGAGCAGGAACCTGCCGGCTCATTACGGCTCCTGCATCTACTTTTTTGACAATGGAGATAGCCCAATTTATTCTTACATCAAGACAAAAAACGAGTATGTCATTTCCGCTTCAGCCATCAATGGTGTGCCACTGTCTAACTAGTCCAGAGACGGCCTGGAGAAAATTGTTGACATCCTAGAGAAGACAGCCATCTCAACCAAGGCGAATACTGGTGCTTATGTGTTTCCCTCGGCACACCAGCTCAAGTTTTGGGCAGCAGAGTACCTAGACAAGCCAGAGCATCTCAGCTCCAATCTTGCAGAGTATTTCACTTCTAGACTAGTTGGACTAATGCTGGAGAATGGCATCCCATTTCTAGCAGTGCCCGTCAATGAACAAGATTTCAATGTCGTGGGCACACCGGAGCAGTTGACAAGCTTTCTTGCCAGGGCCAAGTCTGGTAGTCTGCCTTCCAAAACTCCCCAAAGGAAGAGCCGATTTTGCTTCGATCTGGACATGACTCTGGTTGGAGCCCCTGTCATAGCAGGCGACTACTCTACTTGTCCGCCAATCGAGGCGAATATCAAGTTGGTCCAGCAACTTTATCATGCTGGACATCATATCATTATCGTACGTATATTGCTCGGGTCCCAAGACGGTCGCTAACCTTGCGACAAGCAAACCGCCCGCCGCATGAGAACACACCACGGGAACGTTGGTGCCGTTGTAGCGGATGTCGGCACTACGACGTTGCAACAACTAGCAAAATACAACATACCCTTTCATGATATCCACTTTGGCAAGCCCTATGCCGATGTATACATCGATGATCTTGCTGTCAATTCTAATCTCGACACGATTCAAGAAGTTGGATGGCTGCTAGACGATCCAGATTCGTCTGGTCACGAAGTCACCAAGGATGGCATGGTTGCGGCTCGCGATTTCAATACCATTCAAATCGTCAACAACCAGGTCATCAAGTCAAGCAAGCGCGACCAAATTTTAGGAGAATTGTTTTTCTACTCGCATGTCCCATCGGACGTAGCGCGATACTTTCCCAGCATTTACGGCGCCGACTACATCAAGGACACGTCCACATACGTAATTCAAATGGAATATTGCCCCGGCGTAACATTTTCCCATCTGCTAGCCGGTCGATCCATCACCAAGGGCCGCCTGCATTTGTTTCTTTCAACATTGCACAAAATCCACACCGCCAAGCCTCCCTCGACCGAGACGCTGGGTATTTCTCCCGCGCTAAAGGAACAATGTGAGAAATATCGCCTGGAGGACCCGAATGCCAAGCCGGACATCTATGCCAACTACAGCCAAAAGCTACGTCGGAGGTATGAAGAGAATGCAGACCGCTACGCCAGTCTCGGTCCGCTCGCCCGAGACCTCTTTGGCCGCATCGAGGAATTCCTCGACACGTACGAGGCGGAAAGAACGGCGGTGCCAGCCGATGTTATACACGGCGACCCGGTCTTCAGCAACGCCATCCTCGCAGCCGACGGGAGTGCGGTCAAGTTCATCGACATCCGGTGCCGGCTGGGAAACGTCTTGACCACCGCCGGAGACGTCAATTACGATCTTGCAAAAGTCCTCCAGTCGCTCTGTGGTTACGATCACGTAGTTGTTCGCTGCGAAACAAGTCTCAAGGACGAACATGGATTTGCGCACGAGGATTCTCCGGTTCTCACAGAATCCGATCATGCACTGCTGAGGAGCTTGAGAGAACAATTCTTCCAGTTTGTTCGGGAGACGTACCCGGGCAGCCCGCCTCCCAAAACTCTCTATGGCCTGACTGCGGCTCTCTTTTTTAGTCTTATTCCTCTTCACCGTGCTGAGCTGGGGCAGGTGTTTCTTGACATGTGCAAGGAAACATTGGACAGGGCCACTGACGGACCAGACTATTAAATCTGCAGAAAACACTTGATGGCTTGGCATTGTAGGTGCATGTGGCGTTTAAGCTGCGGATATTAGCGGAGGATTGGAGTGAGGGAACAAGTTGACAAAGGCGAAAAGCCCACCAAGTACTTGTAAGACATGGACGCACTGTAAGAAGTAGATCATGTAGATGGGACAGTGTGATTTACTGGCCCAAAATGAAGGGAATTGCTGCATGGGCCTGACTCTTGGCACGGCTTATCCGCCCCCGGGTTGTTGAAGGTCAACTGGTATTGACTTTATAGAAAAGGCGGCAACTAGAGGTGGCTTCTCTGTTAATGGTTGCTATGGAGGTAGCTGCAGCCCCAAAACACTAGCTGTTTAACCGAAAGTTTCAGGGCTATCTGTTGCGATTGAACTTACTTCTATTCAATCCTGGCTCTCACACATATAAATACCTAGTGGCACGGCAGTGACTCATCATGTCTTGGTACATGACTCCCACCAAGTCAACGCTACCTAAAACAGGTTATTTAATGTTATTGTTATTTATGAAAACGGCCTTACTTGTCTAGTTGGATAGATAGGGTTTGAGGTGCACTCGCTTGATGCCGATGCAAAACTGCCACTAGGAGAAGGTCTCACAATCTCCCCCCGGGTACCGACTATGTAAATGAGCAGCCAGCTCCTCGAGAGCCGCTAGTTCTCCCTCTCTATATCGCAATTAATTCATTTTTTTCAGCACTTGACGTTTTGGGCTAAATAAGCCCCGTGCCTCTTACAACTACTAGCCGCCAGGCAGAAGTATAATAATAGCCGTTGCTTTGAAGAAGCGACCTGGCCCCGGCAATTTCCGTCACTCTAGATTGAAATGACCCCATATGGCAGCCTCATACAGGTCTCTCGGCTGTTCGCTGACGCACATGCGGACGCTCTTGGCAACGCTGAGGAATGCCATGGCCTGCCACCAGTCCTGGCCAGCTTTGAATAAGCGCATATGGTTTCGCTCCCAGGCCTCAGCCACGGGGATAAGAAGATTCGGGAACCGGGCCAGCTGCAAGAAATTAAGCACAAGACCCTCAAGCATACAAGTTCCAGATGACTCACCCACTCTCTCACGTCCTCGATAATAGACAGGCCATTCACCCGCTCATTGGGATCCGCACCCGTCTCATAGACGTATCGGGGCCACATCAAGTTCCACAAACGTTGACCTAGAAGCTGCTTCGAGGTGATGAAGCGGTACGCGGGTCCTTGGACTGGGCCTTTCTCCGCCCATATATAGGCAAAATAGCACACCTCGAAAAAGACCTCTTGGGGATTCCCCTCGAGCTGCGGCCAAGACTGCGCGTAGATGCGAGCAATCTCGGCGTATACTCGAGAGTCAAAGACCCACATGTAATATTCCAGCAACCAGCCGGCCGAAGAGAAGTTGTCGACTCGGAGCATATCCGCGCAAGGCGTGGACCCTAGACCGAATGGTAAGTCGAGGCTAAAGGTTGAATAACCTGGCAGTAGTAGTAGCGTAGACTCACAACCGATGGGATGGCTGCTCCCGTTCCGACTCTCAGGGGTGTGGATGGCAAAAGGCTGGTCGAGAAACTCCCTCACGATATCGGCAAGCCGCGTTGTCCGCAACATGATGCCTTCCGAGTCTAGTATAAAGCAGTAACGCCTGCCGGTAGCCAGACAGCCATACATCTTCTTGAAATTCTGGAGCAAGAATTTATCCATGCTCTTTGTTATGGAAGCCACGTCCATCTCGGGGCTGTAATAGTCAAAAGGCAGTGATTCGTATTCGATAATCCGGAGACCGGGCAGATAATACCCGATGCTCTCTTTACCAGCCCCAAAAAGCTCCTCGCTGAATTGCTCCACATCTTCGCTTACAAGAACCAGGTTAATTTGCCACAGGTGGCAATCCACGCAGTGTCGTATCATGGATCTGCTCTAGACTGTTAGCGGATCGGCGCATCGCAACATGTGCCTGAGAGCCACGATACCGTAGGAATTTGATGCAGAATTCGAAGTGGCCGTGAAAGGATGGCAGGACGATGGCGGTATTGAAAACAGTTTCGAGCTGTTTCCTGCTTAGCTTGAGGGATTCGTTGGTTTTGGCTAGATCGGCCTCCAGCATTGCTCGAAGCTGGAGACTGGATAACTTGTCGGAATTTTTGAACATGGGCCACCTGTTTTGCTCGGGATCCGGCTGCTCCTCTTCGGCGATTGTCAAATTCACTGTTTGGTGTAGAGTCGGAGATTGGTCAAATGTGTCGTCATACAAGAGACATGCCAGCTTTGACTCTCCGTCAAAGACAAGCAGCCGACCGTGATTATCGAGTGCCAGTGATTGCGGCCCCGGAGCCGCCAGCAGCATTGCATCCCCCTCGACGGGCAAGCAGCGGCCCGAAAGCACAGAGTCCCAGCGTCGGTCGGTTGCGGCATGTCTATCCCCATCCATGGTCCTGGCGAGGATCTGGACCGCGCCGCCTGCATCTATGGTCATGTAGGAGGTCTCTGGTGCCGAGTCTTTTCTCCTGTATCTCCTGCTATTCGTCCACCAGACCGGGCTCCATGTTCCATCCCGATCCGTCTCCAAGATGAGCTCGCTGTCATCGGTAAGATGCACTCGCCATTTGCCGTTGGAAGAGACGAGAGCTTTTCGCTCTGCATGTAGCACGGCATTGGGCAAATAATGTGACGCTATACTGTCCCCTGCGGCCACCGAGGCGAGAATGGGCGCCGGATTTGCCTCTGGCGATAATCCCGGGTTGGATGCCGGGTGCTCTTTGACTTTGGTGACTCTGGCAATATTGAACACATATTTTGGCAGTAAAAGAAAGAGGATAACGAGAATGATAACCAACCGCCTGTGAGATTTCGAGAGACGCAGACGGGCGCTAAGCGTAGGACGGCGATCGGACGAGCCGTCCAAGTCGTCGGTCGGATGTAAGCGCATATTGGCGTGACACCACCGCCGAGGCTGGTAGATCTGGCGATAGTTGTGTCGATCAGTCAATGGCTTGAAGATGGCACTAGTGCGCCTCGCTGCATGTAAAAGACGGGCCGGCACCGTCTGCCGTGCATAGGAGGAAAGAAGATTTAGCTATAGTACCAGACATTTACGTAACACTACTATTTCACGCATAATCAATATCGCTTTTGCCTTTGCATAATATGACCCCTGGTACCAGTTGACGTGTCACTGCCCTGGCATGACAAGGGGCAGTTAGCCACCAAGTAACACGAGCAAGGTTCCTGTCGCAAATGTTGCGCAAGGTCCATGTCTGGTGTTTTAATAAGCTTTTACATGAAACAACGACGGCTGCTCCGTATGTAAAGAGACGGACCCCCTTGCCCCCGGCTGCCACGGACCCGTGTAGGTGAAGGCTGGGATCAGTTGCTTTCCTGTATTTGACTATGGTAAGGTGTTCCCTACTATCCAGCGAAAGCGAGGAATACCTTGGGCGGTTTCTATTAACAAGACTTTTGGTGAGCTGGCAATTTTCAACCTATAAACCCACACTAATAATACCATCCAAGGTGGCTAGTTCGAGCTACGCATAATTACAGATTATACCGCGTTTATTTAAGTAATTTTTATAAATAATTTAATAACCCTGAATGAGCTTAAATTTAATAGCTAGTAAAAGCCGGAATAATATCCTCCACTAGCCACCGCCCCTTTACCTACCCTTAGAACAACCAGACTCGTTTATTGGCATCACAGTCTTGTACATCGCCCAAGCGCCTGAATCTGCCTCCCAAGCATCAGAGCTCCCGCACCAACCGAAAACCAAACATGTTGGTAGCGACCTCGCTAGAAAAGTACGCGCTGCGATAGTTGATCCTCAGATTCTGCGGCTGGTAATTCCAAGCGCCGCCGCGCACCACCGGAAACGGCGCGGCGCCAACATGAACGGAGCCATCGGCCGCGGCATCGCTCAGGTCCCGTACCCATGTATCTGCGCAAAACTCCCTAGCGTTTGCCGTCACGTCGTATAGCCCAAAGGCGTTGGGCTGGAAGGAAGCCACGGGGGCGGTCCACGCGAAGCCGTCGTCGACCGGGGTATTAGCCCAGCGGAAGCCATTGACCCTCTTGGACGTGATGTCGAAGCTGTTGGCGTACGAGACGACGTCGTCCAGCTGGTTTCCCCAGAAGAAGGTGTCCTGGGTGCCGCCGCGGGCTGCCCACTCCCATTCGTCCTCCGTGGGAAGCCGGTACGTGGCTCCGGTGATGGCGGACAGCCAGTCTGCGTAGGCTACGGCGTCTTGCCTTGTGATGGCGACGACCGGCGAGTCGGGGGTCTGGGCGAACCCCGGGTTGAGGTAGTTTAGGTCTTGGTTGAAGACCATGGCGGTGCTGTTGTCTGGATTCCACCAGCGTGCTCCGCCTCGCGGCTGGTAGCTGGTCTCCCGGACAAAGGTGTCGAACTCGTCTACCGTGACTTCTGTCTTGCCGATGGCTAGAGGGGTGGCGATGCTGACTCTTCGTTGCGGCAGCTCGAAATCGCGCCGGTTTTGCGGAACCTGCCAGCGCTCGTGTTCCTCGGGGGTAGAGCCTGCGGTGAAAGTTCCGGTAGGGATGACGACCATGACTGGTCCTGTGTCAGCATCGCGGAACTCGGTCCCCGGAGCAGTCTCGCGGTTGATGCCGGTGGCGGCGGTGCTCTGTCTAAGTCGCGGAGCTTGGTAGCTGGAGGGCAGCTCCAATTTCGTGCTGATGGTGTCGATGGTAAATCGCCATTCGTCGACGCTTCCCGTCAGGAACATGACCGAGTCTAAAACACTTGGTTCATAGTCTGCGGGCGCGGACAAGTCTACCAGGTATCGGCTTTCGGCAATAAGACGCTCAAGAGTCTCGGAGAACTGGTCCGCCTGCGGAATTGCCTTGTGATGTTTGCGGGCCACGGAGGTCAGGGTCGAGTAGGCAGAAAGAGCTGCCTGCTGCACAGGTGCATAGGTGTCCTGGGTAGTGATATTCCATCGTAGAGTATTGGCGAGAGAAGTCAGGTCGGCTCGCAGCTGACTGATATTAGGCGATTCCGCTGTCACGAAGCCTGCCGTCGTCACGAGCGATGCTAGGAACGCGCTGACACGTATGAATTTTCCTAGCTGGGCCTGCATGATGTTCAAAGTTGGTAGCAGTGTTTTTTGTCAACAAACTTTCGCATTGTTATTCGGGGCTTCTTAAGGAATTTGGATGTCTTGCTTGCGTTACGGCTCACGAGGCTCACGTGATTAACAATGCTTCACGATGCCTGTGAAACTGAAAGATTCCATGTTCAAATCCAATGATGAACAATTCGTCTTGACATTCTATATTCCATCGTGGTTGTATGAGAAAATCTGCCTTTCGAATCAAGACGGGCCACGACGAACATGCTCCTCCGGGGCATCCCTCGGCGGACTCCGTGGAAAAGTCAGGGCAACGGAAAATGCCACGTGAACGAGTGTCTGTATTGCGGCTCCGAAAATAACGTTGTTTGACTCATGCACCTTGTTGACGATGAAAGGTAGTTCCGCGAGGTCGACTATACGGCCCCTGCAAGGAGGAGTCAAGTTGAACCAGTTGACCTTATGGGCAAGTTTGCCAATCTTCCGCCAACATTGAATGAAGCAGCAGTATTAGTCGAACCAGGCTCAAACCATGGCCTTGGCTATCTGGGCCACGGCGCCATCATGGTCCCACTTAACGAGTGTCCTGTCGGCACTTTCCTCCATCTTTATCTTGACTAAAGCTTCCATCGCCTCCGTTTCCTCTTTTGAAAGTAGGTCTAGTCTCCCTTAATAATCTTCATCCTTATTTCGCCTAAAGTAGGCGCCATCCAATTACCTCCAAAATATAAAGTCAAAAGCCTAGCTGTTTCTAGCCGCATAATTAATCATCCACGATTTCCTCTCCCAGCTCCTTCTCATTAATTGTGAAAGGGGCACCCCTGTGTTTTTTGTACAGGACGATGAGTTTTGCGCCTTTATCTCCCTCTCCTTATCCCCCAAAACACGTAAAAATGTATTTAAACGGGGTTCATATACCTCCATCCATGAATCATACCCGCCAGGCCAGTACTCCGGGCTCTTTAAGAGCAGCCACCAGGGCGGGTTAAAGGGAAATGATACCGGGGTAGCATAGGCAAACTCCTAGTCTATAATACCCACCACACGAAGATGTTTATTAATTAAGACGTTGGATGGGCGTAAATCTTCAGAGTACAGCCGAAACATAGCTTCGCGATGAAGCTGCTGCTTAGAATTAAATCCACGTGCAAGTTGCCCGCTGGATGCCAGTCGCCGAAACAGCCGCCGAGCAACATATTTGTCGCGTGCGTCATCCTCATCGACAACAGCGTCATTGTGCTAGAACGTTATTTATGCCAGATGCATATCAGCCATGGCGGCGTACTACTCTGTCGAGGTGCAGTATTGTTGCGATGGTAGTAGTGATGGGACTACCCCTGCAAACTCAACCAAGGAGTTCATGTTCTGAAAAAGAGGTTGTCCCGAAATAGAAAAGGCTCCGTCTTTATCCTGAACCAATGAACCTATTCGGGGGAATGATAGCGTAGATAGCTGGAGGATAATGTTGGCCATTTGTCTGTAGAGAAACTCAAGCTTTTGGTCGCTGATGTTGGCGTCCAGGACGTGGGAGTCGTCCGGCTCAAGGTCAGGGTCGTTTAATGCATGAGACAGTGTCCTGTTATGCTCTATATAATCCATGATAATAAAAGGGCCAAGGCCAGTAGGATTCTCTGCCGCAGTTCCGTAATGGTATATCTTGGGCACAGGAATAGTGGTGTTTGCCGCGACGTAACGCATTGTAGCCACCTCGTACTTGGTCTTCTCTTCGGGGAACTTGACAACAGCTGTTCTGATTTTTAGTCATGTCTTTTGAGACGAGCAGGCAATATATCGAAATACCTTTACAGGGGATCTTCATCGCAGCAGACGTGCCGTCCCTGTATTCCAGCCGATAGAATACATTGTATCCGCCCCTGATCGGTGTGTGAAGCTCTACAGCATCGCCAGGCTTGTATTTTTGTATAAGGCTGGCGATACCACGGTAAAGATCCGATTTGTGAAGAGACCTCTCCCACGACTCGACCTCTTCATCACTTTTCTCCCAGGCAAGGTCGTCCCTTTCCATGCGAACAACTCTCGGTTTTGGAGCCATTTTGAGCCAGTCTACGCTGCAACAAAGAGGACGGTCCTGAGGGGTGTCAAAACCAGAACAATGGGAAGGGGGGGAAGTGGTGTGGTGACGTACTGCTACACGGTTGGCTCACAACAAAGGGCGTTGGGCCAACAAAGGTTACACCAGACAACAACAAAGGCAAAGGCAAAGGCCACGAGGCCCCCAGTAGTTCCATGTCTGGTCCTAACTTCTCGGCGATGGCTGCCTCAGGCACAAGCCCTCGCCGACTTGTTGTATTTATAGGGGGTTTCCGTCCCTCGACGGCTTCGTGGAAACTCGAGGGCATTTGATATCCCAAAGTCGATTATTATAGTCTGAATAGAACACTTCGTTCCAAGCCCTGTTACCCTGCCCCCAAGCCGTCACAGCCACCACGAGCCCAGGCTACACCAGCTCTCACAGAACACTCAATGCATCGACCAGACATGTGGCGACTGCATGTGCCTTGCGGGGGGCAATTTGCTGACTGCACGGCAGCCGTCATCAGACACAATCAAATGACACATTCATAGCAGACAGCCTTGAGAAAGCTTGCGTATGAGGTGACATGGACCAACATTGAACGTCGCAGTGGCACTGATGGCCCAAAAGTTCATGCAGAGTTCATCGAGCTTGCCATCTGAACCAGATTCACTGTCGCGTCGGTGAGCTTGCGACCTCTGAATGATGCAATATGAAGGTTATATATAGCAGTCAAACAGGGTATTCATTGGAGTCAGTCCGGTTCACAAAGAGTTGCAAGGGGAGAGGGTCAATCGCCCATTGAGTGTTCAGACGGTGTGCCCATGGAGTTCAAGCAACATCACGGCACAGGTCATTTCTGTGACCCAACAATAACTGAACAAGAGGATAATGACTACAACTTGTGAGACGCCTTGGGTCTGGGGGCTCCAAAACCACTCCTCCCTTTTTTTTGTATAAATAGGACCTCACCATGCCAAGGGCCACGAAAAAACCAAGGACCCTCGACATCACGGAAGTCATCAGATTCATTTTTTTTCCCAAGTCCCCCTACCGAAGCCCTTTTACAATGGATTTCCCAATCGCTCGTCCTGTGGTGGATCTCGATAAGGATATTTTGGCCAAGCTTCGGAGCTTTCTTGGATGGGTTCATCTTGGCCTCTTTGAAGAAGCCTCCAGGCGTTTCGAGAGATGGCTTAGAGGCCATGAGCACCATGTTTGTGTCTTTATGGAGTATACGGAAATGCTTTTAATGCAGGGATTGTACTCCACGTTCAGCACTACTGTTGACAAGTTTCAACTCGAGTCCCTTCCTCAATGCCGAGACACAGATCGGGTGGATTTGGAGCATCTTGTCCGACTCATGAAAATCTTGGCCGGGACACTTTTAGATGGAATAACACAGGAGAAGCTCAGCGAGGCTCTCGGATTCTGGAACTCCATGAAATCAACATACAGCGTCAACTCTCGTCGCGGGGTCAGCATCATCCAGGTTTACGCAATCGAAGTGTATATGCGTATCATCACAGCTGCGAGCAGGTCAAACCAACTGGAAGTGGAAGAAAAATATTTCGACGTGCCCTTCCAACTTCCTCCAATACCATGTCCTTGCTCTGGCTGTTGGTACAAATATCTGATAACGAATGACTTGCACAGGGAAGCCCTGACGTTCCAGAGCATTGTTCTTTCCGATCTTGGCGCCAAGGCCGCAATGGAAGCCTTCATGCGAAACGACCTGTTCGCAACCATGGTTGATAAAAACGAAGTCAAAAACATGGCCCTATGGAGGGTGGTTATAGAGTTGGACACGTCAAATAACATATGCGAGTATTTGCTGAAGAAACAACCTGATCTTCTTTCTTTGGCCGAGGCTTACCTCGATGTCTCGATATTCTTCAAACGAGTGCTTTCCCGATATGGCGCAATTGTCGCCATCCATCTGGGTAGACCGCTTCTTCGCGTCAAAGAACTGGAAGGACTGGTCAAACAAAGACGGTCTGATCAGCGCTCTAATTCGCAGTGAAATGATGCGTGTTTTTTGCTCTGGTCAGTATAACGTCTTGGGATCATGCCATGGATACATGCTAAACCCGTGTACAGACTTCGGTAACGTCACGAAGGACCACGGACATATTGCACCGAAGTGGGCTACGGATGGCCAGAACACAGACTTCGACTGTAACTCGTTGCACAATCTGGCCTTTTACCGAGATGGAAATAAGGGAGACTAGGCCTTGGCCTGTCTTGTTGGAGGAAACAGAGCTCTTACGAGCTTGTCGGTCGCAACGGTTGCCTTTTCTAGGGCTCAAGTGAGGTTCAGGTCAAAAGGGACCTCGACAGGGATTTTCAGGGGTTTTGAGTAGGGGCAAAGGGAGGATTTTCAGGGTTATTTCAAGACAACGATCAATTCAACATTATCAATGTCGTCAAATTCAGCTCCCTTTTCTACTGTGCGCATTGCCATACATTCTCCATTTCTGTAACATATTGCAGGGAGGTATAATTACCTCGTAAATAATGCATGTTCTTGTTGACACATGGTCCCCATTTCAAGAGATCTAGTAGCTTGAACCACCCGTGCCATAAACTCACCTTGGGTACATGATTCCTTTCAAGAGCCATTTAGTCCAAGTCTACCTCGAGAATACGACTAACACGGGACTTCGTAACATGGCGAACAGTCACTAAATCACGGCAGGCAATTCTGCCCCGCGTTCAAGTACTCTCATCATACTAGATTGGCGGCCCTATATTAGCTATATTGACGCCGGGCAGACCGAGGGGCGAACAGACCATCCAATCATTCCGTCTGGTATCACAATCCCAACCCCGACCTTGCAATCGCTACCTTTCCCCACGGCGACGGCGGCGCACCATGCCTCAGATCAACCAGTTCCACATCCGGCCCGCACGCTCGGCCGGCGACGACGCGCAGTTCATCATGGCGGCATTCGACTCCACCATCCCGTACCTGAGATCCATCGGCGCGGCGCGAATGTGGGGGGAGAAGCTCTTCTCCGAAAAGGACGGCTTCGAGCAGGAGACGGTAGAGTCGGTCCACAAGTCGGAGCGCGAAGACGACCCTCTGAACATCTTAATCGCCGAAGTCGAGCAGGGCCAGCGGCCTCCGACCCGAGTTGGGCTCGCCATGATACGCGAAGACTCGTTGCCGGCGTACATCACGGAGCGCGAGGAGATGAAGCCCGAGGTCGACCAGGCGAAGCAGTTCATCTTCCTGGAAGTCCTCATTTCAGACTACAGGACAACGCCTCTTCACAAGGGTGTCGGCGCCGCATTGATCGAGGCTGCTAAGCGCCGCGGACGGGAGAAGAACAAAGACGCCTTGTACGTGGACTGCTGGGCAGGCAACCACGGCAAGTTGAACAGGTGACCTTTCCCACTCGGAGCCCGGAACGATACAGATTGGCTTACACACGCGTAGGTATTACGAAGGACGGGGGTTCCAGAGAGTCGGTGACTTTTCCTTTGCCAGGGCAAGTGGCGAGCTTTGGCCAGGCACCCTCTTCCGCATGCGTCTCTCTGGACCGTGACACGTCTGCGTAGACGTACATTATGCCTTGGGAGGGTGATGACGCGAAAGGAACATCATTCGAACCCTTCAAACTGGTTGTCTGGCGGGAGCTTGTATGGAGGAAATGTCTGAACCTTGACGCTCAATTTGAAGATGTCCAGATGTCATCTCTGCGTGGCGCTCACTTTGAGTGAGTACAGGATTAGTCCGTCCCTAATATGCAAAGGTCAGCTCACTTTGAGTAGGTACAGAATTATGCAGCAGCCATATGTTCGCGAGCACGAAGCGAGCCTCGAAGCAGACCTCGTTTATTCCTCTGTCACATAACACGATTGTTTGGGATAGCTTGGACATAATAAAAGACTCTTGTTACTATACTTGAAAGAATGTATGATTGGTTTTCATTTTGTGAAAAGATGACATCCGTCCCATGACAGAGGTTCTCCGTGAACGAGCGGCATGATTTTAACATCCTCCTTAGGTTGAGAGACACAATTGTACAGCACCATATGTTGAACAGTAGTTTAGCCTCTCATATCTTCCTAACTATAGGCATTCAAGCAAGAAAGGAGCGATAGTTAGTCAGTAGCTCCACCATGGATGCTCCCATTATTAAAAGTAGGCACGACTCTACCCCCAAGATCGTTGAGTAGCGTGAAAATCAACTTATTCTTGAACTGCTCTAATTGTTTTTTCTGGGTGGTGCATTTTCCAAGATCAAATTCGCTTCGGTCATAGACATAAAAGTCGTCAGATACCCGCCAGAATGTATTTACTCCGACAATCTTTCTAGCTTCCTCATAGAATTGGTCGAGTATCTTGAAATTCGGTGCAATAATAAGGTATCTCCAATTGTCGTCGGTCTTGCTCTATAAACACTATTAGCATAAACTGGGGACTAATGTAGACCAAGTACTCACGTTCTTAGCATAGGCGTACCAAACCATGATTATGAGTCTGAGAAGAAAGTAGCCACGAGTCTGAGGAGACGCCGCGAATAGTATAAAATATAAAATAGTTTTGTAGAGTTTTTACATGTCAAGGAGTCGAGGAGGGACTACCTTCCCTCCTTAATAGTCATTTCGTCCTCGTAGATATGTAACCCGCACACTGTTACACCGGGTCTATAGAATTTAAATATTCTGCAATTTCGTCATTTCTAGCAAATGTGTTAAAGTTACATAGCTCGAAGTGCGGGGTAAATGACGTGTCACTGTGGAGTTATTTAGACTTTAAAATATCAACGTTCGAGATCCAATACTCTGTAAATTACAAGAAATTTCTTTTTTGTTAAAGCCGCTCCCCCGCCACCATCCCCTTCCGCGAGAAGAGAACAAGTTGAGAAACTAAATATGACGCCATTTTGGAAACCCTAGGCCACTCCTGTAGTCTAGTCGTTACTAGTGTTTGTCTCAGAGTTTGGAAGAGACTTGCGGCGCATCTACCCACTTAGATGTACTCCCAGTTTACGCAACTCGCTCACGTTCACAAGCCTCCTTAAGCATACAGCTCAGGCCTTCGGTGCCCAGGCGTTAACCACTTTGTCACTGCTCCGAACCGTAAAAGTGAATGAATACTCAAACTGTCCATTGCAGGCCTCTGGTCCCCAGTACCAGCGAGGCATTGAGCCTCCTGCCTCTTTGCACGCTGACATGCGCCTCTGTCCTCTCGAGCCATCGCACGGTATCACGGACAGATGCAGGAAACAGTATAGTAATGTTGTATCAAATTTATCCTGGAGCTAGGCAATTGTGATAAAACACTTGTCCTAATTGACAGTTATAGGGACACCCGGTATGGCAAGGACAGTCTCGACTGGTGCTCCAGCGCTCTTGCTCCTAGTTAATCTCATTACTTGCCACTCCTTTCTGTAATTCCATGTAGTGCTTCCTCCATCACGATGGAGCGTGTACCACTCCTCGGATCCCCCTTTACCAGCGTCACCGCCCGTTGCAGTAATACTGACATAGATTTCCATCGCGGTATAATTGGTTACAGTGATACCGCTCATTTTGTCTATTTGAAATATTAGCGTGGTAATTAGTCGATACACCACAACTTACTTGTAGGTAATTGACAATAACTAGTTAAGATTTGTAAAGAGGAGACTGCTCGGAATTTGATAAACTAAATCGCGGATATAAGCTACACCAGGAAGGAATAGCCCTACCTCACAATAGTCGTCTTTGAGCTTATATAGCCACACGTAGGCAAGAGAATGTTCTGGGAAATGCGTCATGGCAACAAGCCAACGGCAGTGTGGTGGCGGCGATGGCGTCGCTGCAAACACACCAACAGCCTCTCCTCTCCGACGCAATAGGAAACCTCTTGACAAGAAGAGAGGGCCAGTCAAGTCGGTTTCGTCAGGTTCTTGTGTGACCCCTCACAGATGTTGTCAAGCATGATTGCTCAAAGCTTCGCGCTGTGGCCTTCTCCGGTTTCGGGAGAAGTGATTTGCTATTGTGGTCGCGGAGTAAACTCCGAGGAATGGACATGAGCTGCGACCCTCTGGCGATTGGAGATTAATTTTCTGCAGGTATGGAGTGGCTGGCTTAGGCACCCGAGATTCCAGTCGCATAATTGACGCTTTTTAAAACTCAAGTATTCTTCTTGCCAAGACCAGATGCACATCTCTTCAACTACTTGATGCTAACCATTGAATCACAATTCCAGAACAAACTGCCCAACCCGCCGTGGCCTTGATGCGCCGCGCATACGATACAATCATCACGTTATAGCGTGCAACTGCCCATCCTAAAGTCATCATTGGCCGTCATCTCTATCTGTCGCAAAACGACAGGACTATCCAAGCGATACACCTTGATCCAGACGTGTTTGGTGAACAAGACACTCGCACTATGCTTGGGCACATTGATCGTCTCGGTCACCTCTCTCTCAGAGTACTCTGTGAGGGACGTCGAACTGGTATGCGTAAACTGGTAATTGAGTGTCACCGACACACTGGACAATTTGATACCGTAGGTGGCGGATATCTCGACGCCAACCGTGTGCGTCATCTCCTCACGCTGCTCCTTGCTGACACCATACAAGATCCTCTGCTGGCGAGAATAGTCGCCTTCGCCGTCGTTGACCCATACGCCTTCCACGTACCAGGCAATGGTCCGACTTACGGTCAAGAACGGATTACGAATATTGTCCAGGCTATCTTGATGATTTGGCGGAAAGAAGAAGTGAAACGGCAACGTCGCTTTGCACTGCTCCGTAGATTGGATCTGGTCGCCTCTCGATGGGATATGACGAGCCTCAACCTTGGGCACGGCAACATCGTACTCGTCGTACTTCTTGGGCACCGGCAGCAGGAGAACACGCGCTTGTTCACCGCCAGGACGTGCGTAGTTGCTTCGGGCAACAAACGTATCGGCCAGCACGGGGAGACGTTCCGCCCCATCAACGCCGACGTCGCCGGGCTGTACTGCCCACAGAGAGCAGTCTGAACCTGCGCCCGAACCGCCGTCGTCCCACGTGCTGGTGGCCAAGAACTTGCCGTAGCCGACGAGGTCTTCGCGGACACACCATATCCTGTTCACATCGGGCTTGGTGTCGTAGCCGTACGTGCCAACGTCCCCGAGGGCGACGTATCCTGCCGGGGCAGTAGGGTGCCAGATGATTCCGTCGTGCTTCCCGCCGCTGCCCCAGTCGCCCCAGACCTTGGTGTAGCCGGTAGGCCTGGCTACGGCGGGTTTCTTTGGAGTCGTGTTGGGATTTTGTCCCACCAAGAGGGAAGCGCGGTGGCCGTTGATTTCCCAGTACCCTTCCGGTGCGGCGTAATCACCGACAGGACAGAGATTCCCTTGGGCGTTGGGAGTCCACAAGCAGACGCTCCGGCGAGCACCGCTGCCAGTGTCGTCCCAAACCCATCTATAGCCAGAGGTCATGGTGATTCTGAGATCACCATAGTCAAAGGTCTTGTTGGCCATGATGACAGCTGGTTGCAAAAGCAAAGACAAGTAGATCAAAAGATGAGGCGTGCGAAATCAGTTGTCGTGTGTGTCCAAGAATAAAGTACGAGAATATCTGGAGACGTAAGCCATATTTATATTTGACGGGCTTCTTTTTTACTCATTTCGCTCGTATCGGGCGCGTTTTCCCGCAACCTGATAGCTCACGGTCAAGCCTCACACGGGTAGGTAAAGTATGATTGGCTCGATAGTCAACGAACAGGAACTATTGATCTGTATGATGCAATTTCCAAGTGAGCTTCCGTCGGGTTGCGGCCTGGGCAGCATGTTGAGTGTGTACTATGGACCTCGGCCATCACAGTACATGTGGCATGCCACCTCTATGTAGTATTTTGCCGGTTCAGCCAGCCACATTCACACCTACCATGGAGACATTGCATTTTTGCCCTTGGACTAGAATGTTTCAGACTACCGCGGCGTAAATGAACGTCGGTTGGTCCAAAAAAAGGCGCACATCATCCAACGCTAGGATATTGGATGGCCAATAATCCGATCCTAATTCACACGCCGAACCTGACCAGAGCCAGGGTTGATATACAACATACTAGAGAACCGGTCGTTGTAGTCCGGAACGAAAAGGCCTGGTATAAGACGAGCTTGTGCCCACAGCCAAAGCCTACACGTATGCTTATTCACAGCCCTCCATTAAACTCGGTCCAATGTATGTACTTTTTTGAAACGAGGAGATGCCGGTGCATTCATAGAAACCACATGAGCGTCGTTATCGATGCAGTCCCCGCACTGCCCGCGTTTGCAGGCCGTGCCGTCAATGGGGTGCGAGTTCCCGCTGCGGCGTGATGCTGAACGGGTCGATGCGAGCCGGCAAACCCATCGAGCAGCACCTCGGCACAGATCCAGAAGCTGTACATGCCCAACCATGAAGCTGGATGCGACATTGGCAGAAAGCAGCTTTTATTTGCATACCAGTCGGTCCTCTGTGCGTTCTAGACCATTTTGCCACTCCGTCCGACTCGACATGATATGACGACAAAAGTACAGGTTCACCGCAAATATGCCTCCAATTGTGGAGGTCATGGCATCAATTTTTGGAGGATAGGATGCATGTGCCGCTTTTGGAGGACCATTTACGAAGCGCCGGGGCTGACTTCGGTCGGCCCCACCCGGTCGGGGACCCACAGCACGGCGCTTGCCTTAATTACGCTGGGATGTAGTTTGACTTGTTGGCAACATTGAACATGGTGGGCTAGCCACTCAGTCGCTGACGGGTCAACTGGTAGTAAGTACATATGTACTGTCAAGTCTGGTAGTATGAATTGATAAGTTACATGTAAGTATGGCCAGAGCGTACCCACGTCGCCCGCTGTAGACATGAATTACCAGGCACTCTTTTCATCGTCTATCAACGACACCAAACATGGCCGTAAGAAAGAAATCATCACGTATTCAACATTCCCCTGAGTCTATTGGTCCAAGCGTACGCGGCTTGCCAAACTTGGCGCTGTTCAACAGCGTCGTTGTCACACGGAAATGGCGTTGGTTACACAAGGGCTACGGTCACGGGATTAGGGCAGAAGGTCCTCACCGACTTCTTGTATAAATAGACGGCTTCGGTCCCTCAAGGCCTTGAGGAAAACCAAGGACCTTTGATACCAAAGACTGTTATTAGATGAATTGAGCAAATGCTCCAAGCCCTCTACTGAGCCCTTGTCACAGTCGTGCTGATACAACCAAAGCTAACATGCATGGTGTTAAGCAAAGTTGCATTTGATTATTGTCAAGCTTTGTCCAGAACTCACGAAGGATTACTTTATCACAATAAGTTAAGGCGCAAGTATCTAGGTTACTATTTTATACCAGATCTTATACGTTAAATACTACTGATTCTTTAGGTAAAATTATCACTGGACTCCGGTACCGCCATGGTGGCCTCGACGATTAAGTTAACCTTTAAGATTGTCTTAGCCGCCCTCCTGCTTTATAGGCAGGATTATAGTGACCATGCCTTGGCTGTGTGGAATACTGCCGCTGTAAATGATAGCGGTAAGGGCTTTTATTTATGAAATTATTATTATTATTATTATTTTTATTTACTAGATCAGAATCATACTTTACCCTTAATTACTTAAGGTACCTTTGTGGCAGAGCAGGCAAAAGTAGTAAGTTAAAATAGTCCTCGACGTTAATATCAGACTCGGACAACTGTCCTTCGTCGTGCCCTTCCTTGTTTATCCCACTTGACCCCACTCTGGAAACCCACTCGGCTGTATGTAGTTGATCCTGTTGCAATTATATGTATTGAACCGCTATGTGGGATGATAAGTACAAGTTACAACAATACTTGACACATTGCTGGCGATACGTGCCCTCATGTATACCAGACCCCACTAGCCAATCCAGCCGAGTGACCGTGATTGGCTGTGGAAATCGAACAGATCCTGACTCCTGCACCTGGATACTTTCTCTAGGCCCATCAAGAGCTTTAAAAACGCCAAGTTAAGATATTAAGGGAGTCAGCGACATAGTGTCCCCTGCACGGCGTCGTGAGCGATGGTTGCGCATAGCGGCCAGTTTGGCCCTTGCCCTGGCTTTGGAGGAATCATCTTGCGAGTCCTTCCCGCCCTTGTGAAACCTAGTAGCTAAGAAAGAGTAATCTGGATAATTTGTGCTGCTTTAGACAGCAGAGGCATTAGGATATGAGGCGATTGAATGTGCTGTTGGTTGCACCGGAGGGGAAGGAGCTAGAGCCCGGAAGCTACCTCGCTGCAGGAGTTTGCTGTAGCCTCTCTGGAGATGCGGGCTGCATGTGGGTTTCGGACCTCTCCTTACAGGGCGATAAACCAGCTTCTTCGTCAGTTCTCTTCGAAAGAGAATAACAAGAATAATCAACTTAATTACATTTGAAGATAAAACTCTCCGTGATTTTGTGCCGCCGTATTTCTGACCGTTATCTGCATTGAATAGCCACAAGTATAACGCATAAACGAAACAGCCCCAACTACAAACTCTGTCAAGATCAGGTCGCTCATTCAAGCACAATGCTGCCTCTGTCAAGAACACGTAAGTATTACTGCCTAGGTGGTAGTAACAAACTCCACTGCCTACATGGGTCCTTAGCAAGTTGCCTTGTAGCATGAATCTACGCGATTCATACTCATTTATACGGTAGAGATTACGATGTTATTATAGTACTCCATAAGGGGTTTTGCAGTAATTCGCTAGATTCGCTAATGCATTTGAATTTCATGCAAAGCCATAACTTACAAGATAAACGTTGCATATCCAGCAATAAATGCAAATGCGTCTCAAAGTAGCAGGGGTATATTGACAAGGCTTATTACTCGTTTACTGCACGGAGTAGTGAGGCCATGAATCATCTGCCGCCCAGGTCTAGGGGGGGCCTAAAAAGCTAAAAAACCGAGAAGAACACGAATGATTCGTGTAGCAGCCTTCTGGCTATCGCGGTAACATGTTGTTTCACGTGGCTCATCAAATATCATGCAATATTTGTGACAATCCATGTCGCGGTGGAGTCGTCTAGAGCGCAAGTGCAATTATACATGGTTATACGATGTAAAAGCTTTTATACTTCTACGGTTAAGTACATGCACTTAATGTGTTGAAGTAGCTAACTAGTTATAACTAACTATTAAAAGCTCAAAATTGCACTTACACTCTATCTACGACTTATGCTCGCGAGGGATATCACACGAAAATAGTATTAGTTACACAAGAGCTGCAGTCACGGGATTAAGGCAGAAGGCCCTTACTAACTTCTTGTATTTAAAAATATTTTTAACTTTTAAGGCCTTAAGGAAATCTAAGGACCTTTAATACCAAAGACTGTTATTAGATAAATTGAGTTATGTTGCTCCAAACCTAAGCCCTTGTTACCGTCTAGTCCTGAAAAGTGGAGGCGTGACACAAGTAAGGTCTGGCAAGTTTCAAAACGAGCTGCCAGGAATCGATATATACACCCCGAGCGTTGGCCGCCAGCTAATAGTAATATTAGACGTAAACAGTTATATCCGTCTTATTTTAGGATCCGCAGCGGATATTGCATGAAGAATATATTTTATATTTTACTTGGCAATACAGTTAAAGAGCGCATTAGTCATGGACTTCGCCTAGCCTCAGCCAGCTCCATTCCTGGCATGATAATGCATAATAGATGACGTGTATCGTCTAATGCATAAATTTGTACCAAATTTCTGTCAGCCTCGGTAACTAACTGGCTCAGACGAGTTGATTAGATAATATGTAGTAACTAGTCAGAAATGTTTGTTGTATATAAAGGTCGGGTCCGAAGGCGATAATATACCAAGCTCGGGACTAAAATTTAAGCACCTTCCAGATTGATTATTCCAAATAGACTTTTGTTCGTTCCTTAACATATCTGACTACAATGAAGCATATTGAACTTATACTTGCGACTTTCGCCGGTCTGGCTTTCGCAGCACCGCAGAGGGTTCTAACAGCGGAGGAATGGGTCGGTGATAGGGTAATAGTACGCAGATTCTGCTGTCACGTTATTGAAAAACAGACAAATGCATTGATAGAAAGCTGATTTGGTATCTAATAGACCCAGCAACGAGTTTTGGAAGAATTTCGTGGCCGAAACATTATTTGCGACGACGAAGAAGAAAATGTAGCTGAGTGCACGAACCCCTTGGCCAAGATTTCTAGTAGCTAATACAGTTTAAAAGAATAGGATTAACTGTGAAATTGGATTTGTATCCATTGTATGTGCTCGCCAGGCTGTCTCCTGTACCAACTCTAGTCGTGTGCTGATTTAACGATGGGTTACAGGGAATAGAAGAGAAGGTAAGAGATTCTACGTCACGTGCCAAGCGCTCAGGCTGTCGTCGGCTTACTAATTCAACCATTTCACCACAGTCCCATGACGGCCTTAGTCCTCTCTGTGAGAAAAAGGGCGGTGTGAGTACAAATTATATACGAACACGGAGCATAGAAGTTACTAATAACGTGTACAATCGTAG